AGTTCAGGGTATCAGAATGTGAGATAGAGCATATAGGTAGCCATGTGAGATTTGAGCCTGCTCGTTTCTTTCTTGTGTGATAGATCCCTCTTCCATGATGTGTAGCATTCACGTTGTCATTAGCTAAGATGATGGGGGCATAGGATTAGCCCACGCCCAAAACTGACTGTCCTGATGTGTCATGTCCCCTAGTCAGCCCCTTTGAGCCGTGTGTTATCCTTTCTTTTGGTCTATAATGAAAAAATCACCCTTGTCGCATCTTTTAGAAGGTTCCACAGAGTGGTTTTTACATATTCTCTGCTGTTCTGCTTAAGTCTATGTGAGTGTTGGAGGCAGTGCTTAAATGTTGGGCATGTGTTTGAAATGTGCAGAAGTGGTGGCTCTCTTAAGAAATGGAAAGAAAAATAAAAGAAAAACAAAGAAAAATTGAAAGCAAAAGAGAGCCACTACCAAAAATCTGAATAATGCCCAGTAAGTAGTGTTTCTTAGCAGTCTGGCTTGGAAATGCTGATGTTTATGCCTCCTTCGCTCTTGTGCTCTTAAGATATTGAGTAATGCAGGATAGCAGAAAGAAAATACCGGGTTGTTGACTGTGTTTGTATGTTTGGAAAATGTGGAACCTTTTGCTTTGAACACTTCCACCACCTAAAAAGGCTTTTTCCCCATGTCCAAGACCCTAGCCAGTCATTTGAACCTGTGTCTAAGACCTCCTGATTAGTTAGTGGTGACACCCCATATGTGAACTCTAGCATTTAGAGGCTGCCATCATGGTGAAGAGATGATAGGGATTGAGAGGAATAGCATGCGCATCTTTCGCATCAAATTGTCCTGACCCCACTGGTCGAGAGTGAGTGATTCATTTTCATTTTCTATATGCTCTTGTACCCCGGTGAGGACCTAGATTGCTCGGTCTCTATTCTGATGTCTTGAGTTGGATGCATGAGTTGACTGTTTTGAGTAAGTGGTTGAATCAAGTCTAGGTTGGCCAGTGAACAGAAGGGAGACTCTTCCTTTACTCGATTTGCTGCACTCGAATGTCCTTTGTGGTGGTTGTCCAGGTTGTTGTTGAGGTTGTGCATGTATTGATGTTTGAAAACCAGTGCGATTCACGTGTTTTGTGCCTTTATGACTTGTCCCCAATGTTGGTTGATTGAAATATGGAAGCTTACCTAGTGTCTGACTTGGTTTGCTTGGGGACAAGCAAACGGTTAAGTGTGGGGGAGTTTGATAGACCGTCATTTACACATGTTTTTACCCTCATACTAACACCGTTTGAGGTGTTGATTCTCGTGTTTTAGGCCGATTTCACGCTAGGTTGTGCTTGGTTGTGTTATTTCAGGTCCTAGTACGTGAATGAAGGCTTAGGAGCGAGTCTGGGGTCGATTGGATGAAGAACGGACGAAGGGCGAGCTTTTGGAGGAGTGCACGGCCAGACCAGGGGGCTGCACGGCCGTGCACTAGTGCCATTTGGCCGTGCGCCTCACGACGAGAGCTTGCACGGGCACAATCCAGGCTTGCACGGCCGTGCGCCTGGCCGTGCAAGAAGGCTGAGCTTAATAAATAAAACGGTGCGTTTGATGTTGCACGGCCAGAATGGGGAGGTGCACGGCCGTGCACCTGCCCGTGCAACTCGGGGAGACCGGTTTTAATGCCTAATCCGAGCCAAAAGAGAGAGAATCGTGTTTTCAGAGCAAAAACAGAGCCCTAGAGAGAGAAAGTGCGAAGAACTCATCCTAGAAGCCGTCTTGGAGCTGGATTTCATCAAATCGAGCCTGGAGATCGTCATAGGAGTGAACATCATCGTCCCGGAGCAGATTATCCTCATCGTTATGAGTATGACTAATCCGATTCTTGTTTTCTCTTCTCTCTCTATGGAGTAGAACCCTTCTCTCACTTGGGTATGAAGAACCCTAGTTCCTGATGTTAGGGTTTTGATTGTAATGACTTGGGAATGATATTATTGTTTGATTTTAATCGAATGACGCATGTTTCATGAATTGATTTGAGTCTGATCAGCTTGTTTCAATTTCTGCTTCAACCTGAGATAGATAGAATCTGATTAGGTTGTTAGAGCCTCTTCATTCGATAGTAGGAGATTGGCTATACGAGAGTTAGCCAGTTTACTGCTTTGTACTGGTGTTCTTGGCGTCAGTAGTGGAGTTCTGTGTTCATAGCCTCAGCTTTCTATCCCGGTGAAGACTAGTCGTCTGCCGGGTAGTTAGACTGAGAGGGCTTGGTCAGCTTAAGAGATTCCAAGCTACTGTCGGATCTTCCGCAGTCTAATCAACAGTAAATCAACTCAGGGAATTACAATTGAACCTAACTAAGGGGCTAGGGGGACTCAATCCCGAGTGACTCTTAACTGCTTTTGAAAACCGAACCATTTCCTGCTTTCTTACTGCTTTTGCTTAAACAACAATCATTCGAACTAAGTTGCTAGATAATAGAGAATCACGGAGTAAGCAGTAGATCTAGACCCCGGGTTGATAATTAAACTTGCCTGTTACTGCATTCCCGGACTGCGATTGCACTTGGTCGCAGTTTGGTGTTGTGTTTTGGCGTGTCACTTACTTAGCCCGCGCTAGTAAGAAGATGAAGAAATGGGCGGACAAGAAAAGGCGGCACTTGGAGTTTGAAGAGGGAGACATGGTGATGGTGAAGTTCTACCCTCATCGCTTCAAGCATCTCAAGAACGTGCACAAGGGACTGCTTCGCCGTTATGAAGGGCCATTCCCCATTGTGAAGAGGATTGACAAGGTGGCGTACAAGGTGGAGGTGACGTCGCACTTAGAGATCCATCCAGTCTTTCATGTGAGCCAACTCAAGGCTTTCCACGAAGACAAGGAGGACGAGCAGCGAAGAGAGTCGCAGCGCGCACCAACACTCATCACCAAGACACACGACCATGAAGTCGAAGAAATCATGGCGCGTCGTGTCATTCCTTGTCGTGGCGTACATCCAAGCTTCGTGGAGTACTTAGTCAAGTGGCACAACCTTCCGGAGAGTGAAGCAACTTGGGAGAAAGAGCTCACGCTTTGGAAGAACAAGGACTTGATCGAGACTTTCCATCAAGAGGACGCGACGAGGGCGTCGCGGGCATAGGTGGGGGAGGATGTCACATGTGGCAGATGACATGGCGCCAATAAGGTGATAACATGGCGGCTGCACATGTGGCGTGTATGGAAGACTAGTAGCATAGAGATGCTCATAGGATTCTCCACCTTAATAGAGAGCTTAATGGTGCACTTATGAGTCACATAATGGGTGACATTTATAGAGTGCATAATGGGGGGACTTAATGGGGTGTATTGATGTAGAGGGACATTATGAGGGGCATTGATGCCTTGTATGAGGAGAGGCCTATATAAGGAGTCATCTCCCTCACTTGTAACTCACTCCACCATTTTTTAGAGTAATACACGATCGAGAGTAAGGTCGTGACACCACCCACTTGTAACTCATTCCTTTGTCTTTGCTCTTTGTTTCTTTGCTTGCGAGTGAGTTGAGAGAAGGCTGCCTAGCGCTCTAACGGAATTGAGAGCTAGGGCCGCACGATCGAGAGTAAGGTCGTGACACCACCCACTGAACACAGTTCGTCTTAATTAATTATTACTAGTTTACCACATATATAAAAATAATCTACAAACTATCTAGTTAAAGACTTAAAGTTATGACATCAACACTAAACCAAAATTAACCTCTCTTTTTTTCTTTTGCACTTTGGCACTCTAGAACTAAGTCTAGCACTTGGGCACTCCTATTGAAGATGGTTTTAGCAACAAAAAAAAAATCATTCGAAATTGCGTTTTGGTACCAAAAAAATTATTATAAAATTTTAGTACCTAATTTTTTTTTAAATTTACACATGAATCAACGACACAATCCATAAATTCACAAATCCATTTGATCTATGTATCCACTATCCACCCATCTATTAGTCATTTTACTAGTAATGCCTAACCTAGTGTTTTCCAAAGATTAGAGGAATCAAGGAAGGGGACCTAGGTTGTTGTCCCTCCCTCTTTGGTAGAATCAATCAATGTATCGTACCAAAAAATATAAAAAAAATCAATCAATGTAGACCTAACCCTCACCTTTAAGTTGAATAAGTTAATATATACCTAGTATACATACTTTTGTTAATTTAAATCTAGAACAAAAGAACGTGTTTGGTAATATTTCTTATTAGAAAGACATAAATACGAAATTGCATGAAATATCATTTCATTTTTTACTTAAAACCTAAGAATATCGATTAGACAACATTCTATTCTTTGAATCTATAGTTTTTATGATCTCCAGTTTAAAATTCTTGTAATTCCAAAATCTCAAAGATCAAATTCTCAATTTTCAAACCCCTTGAAAATAATCTCATAATCACAATGCATTTTCTTATATAAAACATTTTGCTTAATACCTATCTCCTCCATTACTCCATTAATTATGAACTTAAGCGTCAATTTGGGATTGTTAATTGATGTTTATTTCATTATCGTCCGATCGCGATCAACTAGATGAAAGCAATTCGAGAAAAGAACTAGACGAGATATATGTAATTTATTATTTATTAATATATATTTTTTATCAATCGTTGAATTGAATAAAACCAATTTTTTTAGCAAACGAATTAAAGAAGTTCAAATTTTGAAATGATGATAAATCATTAAAATTTTCAAAAGCAATTAAATCCAGAAAATAAAATTTTCTTAACAATATCAAGAAACATCTCTCACCTTCTTTAAAAATTTGCAGAAAATAAGTAAAATTTCTAAATTTTAAGGATATTAATGGCCGACCAAAATCCCATTTTAAGAGGAAGAAAAAAAGGAAGAATGGTCAATATCAAGATACAACATTGTTTGGAATTAAAATTAATATTAGATTTGGAACAAAACCCACCAAAATATTAGATTTGGAATTTTCCTCAACATCTAATTTGCTGCCAAAGTTCTATAAAAAAACAAAATTTGTTGCCCGAAGACAAAATACTAGAATCTGTACAATGAACAGAAGTAGGTAGCAGTCTTCCGCTGACACTTCCTTTCCAGTTTTTTGTCACCCGCCGGCTCCATCCCATCACACCGCGTTGACAAAACCAAGTCCGCGATCTTTCCCCGATCTCCTCTCCTCTCAGCCCGCCCACTCTTCTTCCCGTCGTTCCTTCTTTCACCGCGCCAATTGCCCCTCAACGCCCGTCTGGTCTTTCTGCCCTGCTAGAGAAAGGAAATCTCTACTCTCCTTCGATTTGCAGGCTGGGGTTTGCCTTCCCCTCTTCTTATTGCGGCGGAAAATGGGTGATTGTTGACCGGTGCTTCTCAGATCTCCGGTTTGCTTCTTTTCTCTCACCTTACTTCAGCGCTAAATCGTTGCTGTTTCCCTAAATTTCTGCTCTACCCACCTTAAAGTTTGTGTCTTTACACCAGAATTCCCGCTGCCGTTACAACTTACATGACTTCACCTTAAAGCTTCCGTCTTGTTGTTGAAATGAAGCCTTTTTCTCTCTTGTAACTGAAACCCATTTTGCTATTTCGCTTGTTTTGCTGAATCCTGCTGAACTGTTCAATTTCTTCTGTTTGTGCGTGCTTCTGCTGTTAATAGGTATTTGATCTCCCCCCATCGACTTTGATCCTGCTTTGGTGAGGAACTAGGTTATGGTGATTTTGGTTTGAGGTGCGCTGAATTTGGCCTGGCTGTGTCTTGGTTGATTTCTGAAGAAGTTTGATTGAGTTTGGGGGATCTGCATTTCGGTTTGAGAGGATGATCGAGAGGAAAAATATGGGGAGAGTTTCCCCTTTCCTGCTGGTGCTATTGGCCCTCGGGTTTAGCTTTGCAACCTATAACTTGTTAACTTTGGTAATACGCTACAAGACCTCAGGGGAGGGAGCAGGTTTCTCTGATCCTGTTATCGCGATGCCTCAGAACGTGAGGAAATTAGGGAAGTCGAATTTGAAGTACCATGTGGCGCTTACTGCAACTGATGCTCCTTACAGCCAGTGGCAGTGTCGGATTATGTACTATTGGTACAAGAAGATGAAAGATGCGCCTGGATCGGATATGGGGAAGTTCACCAGAGTTTTGCATTCGGGGAAGGCTGACAATTTGATGGATGAGATCCCGACATTCATTGTGGATCCTCTTCCAGAGGGTCTTGATCGGGTATGTAAGATTATGCGATAGGAGCCATCTGTTTGGTTTTTGTCATGCATTTCTATGTTGTCAGTTATATTCATTGTGACGAATTCGGAACTGATTCAGGTTACAAGGGTAGCAATAATAGCACATGCAGCTGAGTGATGTTGGTGCTTTTTTACTAGTTTCAGTATATCTGCATTTGTGGGGGTTTAAGTAATAATCTTGTCATGGTTTGCTTACATAACTACAAATGACAGGACACAAGTATCCAGTCTGATGATATCTTTGGTTAGAGAAACTTATATCCAAATAGACTTAGCACTACTTGTTCTTACCTTTCTGATCCAGTGAATGATAAAACTTCTTGTAGGTTTTCATGATTTATCTGGATTGAATTTTAAAAGAAATAGAAACTGGATAACAGACCTGCCAACAGTTGTGTAGTCTATATTCACGCAACTAATACGTTCTTGCGATGTTCAGGGATATATTGTCTTGAATAGACCGTGGGCCTTTGTTCAATGGCTGGAGAAGGCAACAATCGAGGAAGAGTAGGACACAAATTCGCTCTCGTGTTTAATATTCTTCATCTCGATATGTTCTGAAGCTTACTGAACTAAATTTTCATGCAGTTACATCTTAATGGCCGAGCCAGACCACATATTTGTCAATCCCTTGCCGAACCTGTCTCATGGAGACAACCCAGCAGCATTTCCCTTTTTCTACATCAAACCAACAGATCATGAGAGCGTTGTTAGGAAGTATTATCCCAAGGACAAGGGTCCAGTAACTGATGTTGATCCCATTGGAAATTCTCCTGTGATAATTAAGAAGGTGAAGTTTCACTGCTATTGTTCATCTGTACTCTCTTGCTTTTCTAATTTCAATTACGTGAATAATTAATTATTGCTCTTTTCTAGCTTAAGTGAATGATTGTAGAATTGTAGTAACATAACATGAAGATTCAGACCAAAAAAATGTAATAAAAGGAAGGAAGAACCAGTAGAAAGAAAGGGAAACCATATGAGAAGCCTGTCAGGAAACATATTATATGATGAATTGGTAATTATTTGAACCGAAAACATTGGTTAAAGGAGTGATTTTGTGTCCATTTCTTTGAATTTCTCCACTGAATAGCAGAATGGTATATAAGATAAATCTACTTGTAAAGAGTTCTGGTAGCACTGTCAGTCAGCTGGATTGCCCTCCTTGCAAGTGAAGAATGATGCTTTATTATTTGGCATTCAATTGACTGAGCTAAACCATCAATTTCAGACCTTGCTGGAGGAAATTTCTCCCACATGGGTCAATGTATCATTGAGGATGAAAGATGACCCAGAGACCGACAAAGCATTTGGCTGGGTGCTGGAAATGTAAGTTAATTTATGTTTGTTGCTCTATCTTATCTCAATGGACCGAAACATCTTGACATTTGCTAAAATCTTTTCTTGGAAGCCAGGTATGCTTATGCTGTAGCATCAGCGCTACATGGTGTGCGCCATATTCTTCGTAAGGACTTCATGATACAGGTTTGTTTTATTATGGTGAAGCTTCTCTATATGGTTGTTGTTCAGAACAATTGCATATGATTATTGTACATTTGTTTCAGCCACCATGGGACTTGGAGGTTGGGAAAACCTTTATTATACATTATACTTATGGCTGTGACTACGATTTAACGGTAAATGATTTATTCTCATGCGCCATTGTTTTGTTCTTCCTATTCTTCAGCATTTCTCTTTTTTACATCCTCAGTTGTGTTCGCTTCCCGCTTTGTTTTTTTTTATAGTTCAAAGTAATGGTTAGTGATCTAGTACAGATGGTGATTTGGTTACTAGTAGATGAATGTTTCGCTTATGTCTTGCCTGAAATGATCTAGGGTAAATTAACTTACGGCAAGATCGGAGAATGGCGCTTTGACAAGAGATCATATCTCCGTGGTCCTCCGCCAAGGAACCTCTCATTGCCCCCACCAGGAGTTCCGGAAAGTGTGGTATGTACATTTCCTCTCCTGAGGGAAGTGTTTAGCAAAATGCCCCTCTTCACATTTACTTTTATGCATGCAGGTGAGGCTCGTAAAATCGGTAAATGAAGCCACAGCAAATATACCAGGCTGGGAGCCAGCAGAAAGTAACAACTGAAGTACAGAGAACAGACTAGTCGTTACCATATCCTCAGTATGACAGACAGAATTCATGACAGTCATTTACAGTGACCAAAAAAGCAGTACAGAGACAGATGAGAAGCAAAGAGAGACAAGAAACCCCAACCATCTTGGCACATGTGAACTAATTGTCAAGGAAGAAGCCCCAAAATCTGGAAATTCTATCAAAACCCTTGATGACAATGTCATCTTGTACCTCATTGTGAATCTTCCGTGATAGCAATAGACATTCGGTTTTTGCTTAGTCAGATGAATGCAGCTAAAGATGCAGAGTTCTGCAGATGCTTCAGTTGAAGGGTTTAAGAAATGAAATGCAGCTGGTTGCCAATCTTAATAATTTTCATTGCTATAACTAGCTTTGATAATGTACTTACTGACATACAGCGAGAGATATTGACATCATAGTTCCTTTCTTTTCCATCTTTCTGCAGCTACTGCTACACATATATAGTCGTCTATCACGGGTGTTCGTATGCAGGTTTCGACGATCTTCTAGTAGTCAAGGAAGGCTTCATCTGAACAATCTGTTCTTCATCAACTCCCATCTTCTTAGCATAAACACCAGCCTGAAAGAACCTTCTCACTGCGTCTTCCATATAAGCAGTACCTTCCTTCACCGTCATCTGCTTCCCGATCTCGTTAGGGTAGCTCGAAAGCACGTTGTCGCCCTTGAGCACTGCAGCAAGCTGCAGCATCTCCTGCTGGAACTCAGTGAGCTTTGCTTCCTCATTGGCCTCGGTCTGTCTGATCCTTGTCGGAGTCGGCAGCTGCAGTGGACAATCGGTTCTGGGCTGGGCTCTGGACTGGACAATGGACTCGAATGTGCCGGCCCATTGGTCTCTCTTGGTGAGGAAAGAGGGCAAGTTGAAGATGTTCTTGACGGTGGCCGGAATGGAGGAATGCTCGTATTCTGACGTCGGTGTGGGCTTGCCGTTGGGCCCATGTACAACTGCAGCGGTCAAAAGCCCAATTCAGATTCCATTATTATTTATTAATGATTCTCACGGCCGCACGGAGAAGTCATGTTACATCAAACTATCCAAAGTGGTGGATTGCTTGTGAAAGACGGAAAGTAGTAATTTTGTGATAGTGGAACAAAAAGCCATTGTTGGTGGGAGGAGATTTAAAGCTATGATTTTTGTTTTATGTCATTGTCACAACTCACAAGTCACAACTCAAAAGACTAAAGCTGTTGATGGATAAGATATGTGAGGTTACATAACATGTCACCAAAACTTATGTGCTAAGACTTAACTCTTTTAAGAAGGTGCCTTTTAGACTTCCTAACCAGATGATTAAGGTTTGGTATATCTACTACTATTAACTGATGTTGTTAGATCGTTTGCCCATGTTTTCTTAGTCATTAGACCAACCAGTATTTATCGCACAAATGTCATCTCATTGATCCAACGATCGAAAATGTGATGTTAGATCACCTGTCCATGTTTTCCCCAGCCATCGGACTAACGACTGTGCATTAACTTACACAAATGCCATTGCATCGATTCGAACGGTTGAAAACTTAAATCGTTAGATCAATGCAACTATAGTTCCTGTTTTCCAAATTATGCCGATATATATTACACAACCCAAGATTATGCCTAGCTACAATACGGACACATACTTAGTGGACACACATCTACCAAATTACAAGTATCCATACAGTACAGTATGTTAGCAATGTGAAATTTGTAATCTAGCAAGTTTCCAAGATTATGCCTATAGCTACAATATCCATCAAATGTTGTCAATTTTAAGGGTTGTAATTCTACACATGTGGCACTTGCAGTAGTCCAAGTTACAAGGCCGTATAGAGTTGTGCCCTAACTATAGGCTGCAGAAGTCGGCGTGTGGATACAGATAGAGTCACTAGCTAAGCTTCAATCTCCATTCTCCACCACATATTTTCACTTTGATAAAAAAAAAAAAAAAAAGATATGGCAGAAGGATCAACGACCCTTGCCTTTGGTGGATGAGGTTGCCCTATGGCTGTGGGACTCCACTACCTTAGCTAATAATATCCACTATCACGGTGTTGTAAGTTGTAACCCTATTTTGGGTCAAAACGTTCTAGCTTGATTTATATTTTATAGTCGTTGGATCGCGCACATGTTATGTATTATAGTTTTGTGACATATGTGACGACGATTTGGTAAATCGTTATGATCGCGTGTACAACGATCGTGAATTTATGAAATAGGCGACCCAACATTCATTAACACATCAAAATGTTCTTACTCTATCGAACGTTATGAATTAGGACCGTAGCCTGATTCGGTTGAAATGAAAGGGAATGCATCATGAATAATTAATAAATTACTGTTACTTACCAGTGCCCTTATTGATCCAAGGTGAAACCACGATGGTGGGGACCCTGACGCCAAGCCGGTCGAACGTGAAGTTGAACGGCTCCGGCCCCACGATCCCATCGGGGCTCGGAACCCCGCGGACCGGGGTCGCCACGTGGTCGTAGAACCCGCCGTGCTCGTCGTACGTTATCACCAGCATCGTCTCGTTCCACTGCGGGCTCGCCCTCAGCGTCTCGTACACCTAAAACAACAACAACAACGAACCACATCAAACTCTAATATATCGTTCGCTACACATACCATCGGAACCACCTGGCTAGCTAGTAGTTTGCTTCTCTCTCGCGCGAACCAGTTCTTTATTCGCTCCATTGTCAAGCGAACTTATTCGAACCCTTTTATTTTGGAAAATATATTTGCTCTTTTTATTTTGAAAATTATTTAGTATTGTGAATTTTTTTTCAAAATTCGTGACCTACAAAACTCTCGAGATTGTATCATCGTATCGCGATTTCGTGATACGACGATGATACGATCCAAATTTTATAGGATTTTGCCAGGTCGAAATCTTGTACCCTATCCGCTAATAGATGAAAAAAAAGTGTAATACTAGTACCTCTTTGACGAACATCTGGCCGTGGTAGACGTCGTGGGAAGGGTGGTCGTCGTTGGCCGGAGCGGTCTTGAGGTCGGTGTACCGCTGCTCCACCACCGTGTAGTTGGGGAGCTTGCCTTGCCTGGCGTGGCTCTTGAACTCCAGGTCGTAGGGCCGGAACCTGGAGACGTACTTGAGCTTGCGGAGGTTCCGGTAGAAGAGCGTCGCCGGGATGTTCTGGTAGTAGATCCCCCACGACAGGCCGGCGCCGGCGTCGTCGATGTTCTCGAAGATGGTCCTCTGCGGGTAGCCTTTGACCAGCAGCGCCGGGATGTTGCTCGTCGCACCGTGCGACGTACCGGAGTGCACGTACAGCCGGTTCGGCTGCGTCGACGCCGGCACCGACGCGAACCACCTGCCAAATTTTTTTTTTTCCCAATTAATGTAATTTTGTTTATTTCAGGTCAGATCCATAGATAGAAAATTAAAACAGATGGGGATCTGACCCATCATTAATATTCACGCAGAAGGGAAATAAATAATTTGGGGATTAATCTTTTCTCTAATGCACTGTATTTTTTTATGGTTATATAATGTCAAACATTTGAATAATATTGTACAATTTAGATTTCCATAAATTACCGCTAGTGATGACAATTTAAACCCGCCCCGTCGAACGGATAATACCCGACTTAACTCGCATTGGGGAGAGCCGTGGTAGTGTGGGGTGTAACGAGACATGGGCTACTACATCTTATCTGTATGTCCCACGACCTCATTTCTCTTATTTCAACCGTAGCTTCACCCGATGAAATTTTAAATACATATAAGACTTAATTTTTCAATTATTTACACTCAATTATTCATTCTATTATTACTATTTTTATTTGCTGAAGTGTTCGTTTATTTTATTGATTTATTCTTATCATAAAAGAATTATTCCTGGCGTATCAAATAATATGTGAAAATGAGTCGACCATTTTCATCTCGTTCCTACACTCAGTATTATCCGACCTAACTCGCACTTTGCTACAGCACGAATATGAATATTGAAACACCTGACTCCCCCTAATTACCACAACATGTTTTGTATCTAAAAAAATTAATTACCTCACTTCTTCTTCTGTTTTTTCCCCCTAATTTCATAATTCTCATTTCTCCACTTATTTTACTAGAAAATTATTCACTAATTCCCTATAACAGCTAGCATATCGATTACCAATTATCCAACACTTAAAAGTCAACAGAGCACAAGCAGAAATTCCTCCCTAATATTTCAAAAAAAAAAATTAATTAAAATTAAACAAAACGGAAACTAATCAAGAATAACAAAACCCAAATAATAATAATCATAATTAAATTTACCGGTCGAAAACGGCGAACTCGGAGACGAGAGCCTTGTAGACGGCGACGGAGTCCGGGTGGAAGCCATTCATCACATCTCTGGACATATTGGCAGAAGGGTCCATGGAGAGAGCCTGCTGGGCGAACCCGTTCATCGGCGGCGGGTCCTTGTTGGAGCTAACATTGGACCCGAATATCTGCTCCCGGATGGCCTGGAACGAGTGGCCCGGATCCGGATCCACGTAGTGGGCCTGGTCCCGGAAGTAGAGCCTGCTGGATCCCGGGTCGGAGGTGTTGAGCGGGTTCCATTGCGACCCGTCCGCCCCGTTGATTTCCGGGTTCAGCTGCTTCATCCACCCCAGCATGTGGTCGAAGGAGCGGTTCTCCATCACCAGGACCACCACCGTTTTTATGGGGCTCGTCGTTGGGGGTTGGGCGCCGTGGACATTGGTCGGCGGCGAAAGGAGGAGGAGGAGGAGGAGGAAGGGAGCGGTGGTGGTGGTGGAAGTTGGTGTTTTCCGGCGGGGCATTTTGGGGATTTCTGGGGGTTTTTCTGAATGCAGAGTATACTGAGGCTTTTGGGGATTTCTAGGAGCTCTGCTGCTTTTATAGTGCGGTCTGGATCGAAGTGTTTTTATTTATTTATTTATTTATTATGCTGATGGAAGTTGATTACAATTACTGTGTTTATGTACAAGTTCTGAGATCGTAAATCTGACCGTGTTTGTTTATCGATATTATTAGTATAATATGGGTGGCATTGTTGTTTGATTTTTCGATATGAAATTCTATGGTGCTTGTTTGATGTTTATCGTACTAATACCGAATTGGTATTGGAGTACTTGGCAGATGACAATAAATGTTTTTTAATGTTGAAATTTTTGGGTTTAATTCTCTATCTTTAAGGTTGTGATCACTGAGATATTTGGTATTTATAATTATGGGGGTGGTATATCTATGATATTATTGTGTGTTGATTATGATGAAGGACGTGTTTTTACTGGAGGGTAATAAATCAAATCATGTTGGTAAATGGTGATGGACGGACTGACGGCTAGTTGGAATTTTTGGGGTGGGATGTGGACAAAGAGAATTAATTGGGGTACTAATTCGAGATTTGTTAGTGGACCATCCTCTTGTGTGGAAGAGATCTTTCTGAAGTAGGGGTATGGATGGCTATGGGTGGACGGCTCACATCTATGATTTGATGTATAATTGGTATCGGATAATTTTGGAAGGATAAGGGATTTCAAGGAGAGATACATTTTATACATATATAGAGGGGAACCATTATTGTAAAAGAGTTCTTTGAGCTTTTGGCTTGCAAACAATGAGGATTCCTGTGATTTTTGTTTTTTGGGGATAAACTTGAAAGAGTTGATTACATCTCAATTCGGAGTTCATCAAATAGTTTTTTAAGTTTTTACCATCTTTCATGGTAGAAGTAGAGATGTGTGGCTTATAGAAGTTTGTAATGAATATTTTGCAATCGATTTCACCAAGAACCTACAATAGTAATTATTTTGTTTTGGCTCGTCTCCTGCCCAGGGGGCCGTCCCTGGGCCACGACCCAATCCTTTTCTGGATCCCGAGCTAGTATAGCGCTTGTAAAATTTTGATTTTTGATATTTGTTTTAGCGTGTTCCGCGTTGTGGTCCAGCCCTTTTTGCCTTTTTCAAATGTGGCCCAGTGCTCTACCGTGTCCTGGATCTACCGCTGCTCTTGCCTGGCTAGTTGGGGGAGTGAGAAAGCAAGATGATGCATGAAACGCCACGCAGAAGGTTCTCTAGTGACAGCCGACCAATTAATAATGGAAGGATTGAATCAATAATGGAAGCAGATTGAATTCCATTTGGATTTGACAGAGATATTCCATTTGATGCACCAAAGAGGAAAAGAGAGACGAAAAATGTTGGGAGAGTTCACACATGACACATCTCTTACATACACGCTTGGAAATTTGGTTTTTTTTTTCTTCTCAATTGCTTCTCTACTTGAGGAAGAAAAAAAAAAGGTTGAGTAAAGTGATTAAAATAACAGTACTCAGTTATGTCGAGTCACAGTCAGTTGGCCTTTGCAGATAATCTAGTTAGTTGATGATAGATCTGTTATCAGTTCTGTTAGATCTGTCCTTTATTATCATCATCATCAACATCGTATATTCAGGTGGCGTCGTTTATTAAAAAGACATATATGAGCATCTACTCTATTCTAAACAATTCAATCCAGCAGCCGCAAATCGCACCGCGATGAACACGTTCTCACAAGCGTCCTGCGAACACCATTTCCGGGTTGCTCCTTTCAAACGAAGCAGCAACAGAAAGGTCTAAAACCAGACTGACACAAGGTATACAGACACAAGTTACACGACAACTTAATCACAACAATGTCTCCAGACATAATAAGTTTTACATCACTTGTAAAATCTCACTTATTCGAAACGAGACCTGTTAACACAATAGCGTAATCCCAACACTCCAGATAGAAAAATACATTCCCCTGGCATAACCAGATATCTGCAGACAAGGTTTATTCTACAGGAAGTTGGGGGTACGATAGTCTCGGACGCATATTCAAAAGCCAACACTTCCAAACCATCCACATTCACCACATAAACCCAGTACACAAAGGGAAAAACCCGAAAAACGGTACACATACTTAAGTCTCTAGAGCTTAACATACAATCAAGCTTCCAACTGACCCCAGACACAGCATCAAGGAAAGCTTGAAACCACGACGCCATCACTCTTCACCGTGTGCCACAGACAGACTTGTGATACTGAGGACATGCCTAAGCACCCATCCAGGATTTGGAGATCTGAAAGCTACATGCCACAGATTCCACTCACGTTCACCATAACCCAATCCATTGTGATGACGATACTAGCCCAGCACCTTTGACAGCTACAGCAACCCAAAAGTTTGGCGTAGAAAGGTAAGGGGAACCACGTGGTTTTTATTTCACCAATTCTTCCTTCCAGATATAAGGCCCAAAGTTCCAACTAATCTTCTTATTAGCTTGACTCTATCTCCAAACCCAAGTAACCAAATAAGGCTTCTACTTCACGAGAGTTCCACATCATAGACGATGTTGCAATATTTGTCTTCTCCTGGCAGACAGATCAGGAAAAGCTATCAAGACCGGTAAAAGAACCTCAACACAGTGTATCAAGCAAATTTTAAATCTCAAATAAACAAATGGATAATGCGGCAACCACCCAGACTGCAAGAATTGATCTTTTAAGGGTTATTCAAGGGCTTTTCTAGCAGGACATATAAAGGTCACAAAAAGATTATAGCCAGAAGCCATCCACCAGATAGACAGACATAAGCTGCAGTGAAAAATTATTTCAGGGCCGGTCAAGGGACAGTCTTTAAAGGGAAGTGTTGGAGAAAGATGACACTTTCCATGAAGCCAGATACAATCGATTGATACATCAAGAAAACAAAAATATTGAAAATTATCCCAATCTAATTGTGTAGTGGGCAATATGAAGGGCAGAGAGATAAGAAATGAAAAGGGTCTCCAAGACAAGTATGCATAGGCAAAAAAAGGTAGAAGACCCACACCACAGCACAATACCATTTGAATTGTATACCAGTGACAGAAAATAAAACACACCTGTCCAGTGGCAAGAGCCAACGCCACCCACCCTCCAACAAAAAGTGAAATTTGAAATTTGATACTGCTGCAAAGTTGGAGCGCACACTTGGTAGCAAAAGGATGCCGTAAGATTCACCAAAGCCCATTCTTAGAACCTTCTTAAGAAAAGAGATAAGTTCAGAGCAAATTCCAGAAAGAATGCCCATAAAAACACCCATAGGCATATCCACCTGGAGTTCCAAACTTTTCATCTTCCCCATATCTGCTTCACATCCATCTCACACGATATTACGCCCGTTCCACATGGAGTGTCCATGAAACTGCTCAGGCATTGTCGCAAATTGCTGATTTCCATTAAGGAGTTGCTGTTGCTGTTGCTGTTGTTGCTGCAGGTACTGCTCTTGCTGTGCTCTTAGATTCTCAAAAGCCTGAAAATTTTCCCAACCCCTTTCATTCTCTAACTTTACCTGAGATCCTTGCAGCTGCTTTCCAGGGAATGGAAAGTTGACTGCCCCCGTTAATCCATTATTGTTGCTGGCATATTGAGGTGTGGGATAAGAGGAGAGGCTGGACGAACCACTAAACCCTGAGGTTTTGGTTGAAGATGGCAACTGATAGCCATCCAACCAGCTATAGTCATCTGCTAGAGGATTCTCAGTAGGTAAATCTGAACCAGAAAAAGAATCTGTCACCTGCTTCGGTGGAGCAGAAGTAAAACCAGGTGGAGGGCCTAGACGCCTAACAGGCCGGCTTACAGGGCTCCTCCTAAAACCAGCCGGCATGGCACTTGATGCCTGTACATCACTTTCAGGGTACATTCCAGAAGAAGAAATAGTACCAACCTTGGAAGGAAAGCTTGCATCTGGAACTTTCATTTGGTTCGATATCATGCCAGTAGTACCAAAATTCACCGGTGGTGGTTGCATTATAACTGAAGCAGACACAGGCAAATGGGCTAAACCAAAATCTTTCTGCATCTCATAGCCAGTTGTGTGCCCATTCTCCATGAACCTGACACTTTTCAGGTTATTAGCGACCAGTGCAGCTTCCTCCATCAGCCACTTTGAAGTAGTAGGCGGCTGGATTGCTGATGGGTGCTGAGTTCCAACCATACCAGCAGATGCTGATATTTGAGGATGTCCGTTGAAAGCAGCAGGAAGGAGCTGATTATCAACGGCAGCAGAGACAGAGCCACCAACGAATTGTAGATCAGCAGCCGAAAGGTTTCTAATAGGTCTTGAGCTCTCATAAGGAGCAAGCTTTGGATGTAAATCATCATTTTGCTTTTCACTCACCAAGGGCTTGAAAACAATTACTTCGTCATCCTCTTCTCCTTCAACACATCGCTGGGGGTTTGTATTCAATGCCCCAAAACTGATAGCTTCCTCAGGAGTATATTCTTGCATCAATTTACTTGCTTTTGAAAGTCCAGAATCAGAGCTGAATACATCATCACCAGAAACATGAGGCACGGCACCTATAACGAATTTTTTCACCTTATAATCAAAGGAGACTGGTTTCTGATCGACCTTCACAACGTTTGCTAATGCCTTCCCTGCAGCAAGAACCCTCTTAATGCGAGCCATCCTTTCCTTAGAACCATCAGCTGTAAACGGGTATTTCCTTGAGAAGTCCAAAATGGACTGAGCAGGGACAAGTGGCAAAAACCCTCTTAACTCTAAGTCTTCCCATAAAGCAAGCCTGTTCCCAGTTTCCCCTTCTTCATACCGGCTCATGTTATTGAAGCATGTATCATCTTCATTATCATCAAGGGATATTGGCAGAAACGACAAGATCTTATTCATGAAGGCAATACAGCACCTCCAAAAGTTTGACCTTACAGCAACCATTTTCTCATCCGCATCACCACTTCCAGCAATATCGGAGCAACAGGCCAACCACTCCACAAATACCAGAACTCCAGGTAACAAGTAACTTGACGAAGGATCATTAAGCTGCTCGCACCTCTCCAATACATGTCCCATTAACTCGAAAGCTGCAGTAAATGCATTTTGAAGAAGAACAGCACGCTGCACAATCTCTGCATAACTCTGACCTTCAGCCTCTTTCTTCACATTATGAACCGTAAATACAAGGATGGAGACTAAACGAACAATAAAAAGTCCATTCTCAACAGCATCTGCGCCAAAATTTGACTTCTCTTCAGGACCAGAGGATAGAAGCTCAAGGAAAGTGCTGCTGACTGATGCGAGAAGTTCCGCAAATGTCTCCAGGCTACAAATGAGGATCATATGATAATTCATTGGCAATGCTACACAAACCAACAATGGTAACTGATAGTGTGAAAAAGGAATTACCTCGTGCGGGTGAAAAGAATGCCATTCAGACGTACAAATCGAATGCAAAATGATTTACGAATCTCATTAACATCAGTTGACTTCTCCTTGGAGCCATCAGCTTCAACACTTGGAATTTTCGATCCACCTTTTGGTTCCCCCTTTCCTCTTCCCCTTCCTCGAACTGGTGACTCCTTAACTACAGAACCTTTGACCTCACCAACCAACTGAGAGCAACTCTGACGGTTCTGGCAATAGAGACAGAAAGTACAATTATTCAAGCAAATTGGAGGGATGAGGGAAAAAAGATGTTATGAAAATAAAATTATCTAGCATTGATAGAGCTGCAACTACAACCAAATGTCAGGAGGGAATGCATCACCCATATCCTCAACTTATCTGACCCACCACCCCACCCCAACTCCCTTCTAACTAAGGCCTAAAGACTTTGCATGATCCATGCAGGTTTAAAATCTAAATTGGGATATTGCTCGAGAAACATTTCGATTGGCAAGATATTTCACTTTGTCGCTAATTCGTACAGCAAAACCTCACTGTATAAGCGCCGCAAATTACCTAGATCAGTTCAATACACATAAGAACTATAGCCAGATCAAAACCTACAAGTTACTGTTAGTTCTAACCCTCATGAACCTGAACTAAAGCATCCTCCCCGCCAAAAAGACGAGGGAAGACCATGTCCTGCTACTGGACCTCGATGTCTTTAAAACAATAAACAGAGGTGCAGTTATCTTGTAATACAGCAATAACCTATCTCACAAGAAAACCCACAAACCAATCATTTCTGCACACTCTAAAGCAGAATGTTTATCCACAACTTCAGCACAGTTTAAGAACATAGCTGCCACAGCGGAGGAAAAAGAAGATACCTTCTCAAAAGCAACAATCAGATTATCTCGTGCTGTCATAAAAGGATTGTCGACTGCCAGGCTCCTAAAGTAACGGTACACTGCCCCCAGCTCATCACCGGAATATGAAGCCAAAATAGCAAGCTGAACAATATATTCAACAATCGTCAAAATCAATGCCTCAAAATAGATCTAGCATATCTAACAAAAAGTAGTCATATCCAATATCAACCTGGTGATGCGGATTGCCACTTGATGGCAAAAGAGATGCAGCCTGCAAGTAGTAACTTGAAGCCGCAGCATACTCGCGTATTTTAGAGTCACCATCTCCATATAGTCCTTTGTACCTTGCAAGATCACCAAGGTATATCAAACACCGGTGGCAGGAAATCAATCCTTTCTTGATATCAGCAGATTTCTTCTCATCTTTCTCCATAGCAACTCTGTCATCCGCGCCATCTGAGAAGAAACCCAGGGGAAGCCCGTACTTGGCTCTGATTTTCAAAATCAGATCATGATAAAACCCAGTTGCCTCGGAAAGAAATGTTTTAAACTGTAACCGTATCTTTGAGACACGATCAGGACGGACAGGAACTTGAGATGAGTTTGAGCCAGCAGAATTAAGGGCAGCAGTATAGTGAGCTCTCAGTTCCTCAATACGCCTATAGTGCAATTGCCACAACGTATATTCTATGTTGTGCTGCTCAGAAAAACCATGATCCTCAAGAATTATAGCTTCATAGTTCTCACGCATCTGTTGCCAGGCATTGGGATCAGATGGAACCCGTGCCTGAGCTGACTTCCTTCGTTTGTTCTCTAACTCAACGTTCTGAAAATGTGAAGTACTTTATAAGCAAACCAATAATAATATATAAAAGAAAAAACCAACATGCACAAATATATCTACAAGTTTACCTTCTCATACAGGCGTTGAGCACGATCCCGAGAAGGAGGAGCAGACATTTTATCCATCTGCACAATCATTGTCCATCAATTATATTTGACCACTTTCTATGTGCCTTCAATCTGAAGAAAACCCAGAAACATTACCAAGAAAGGTCTTTAACTATAGTGTCCAGTCATCAGATTTGGAATAAATGAAGCAAGACAAACAGGCAGCATACAGGGTTCAGATCAGAAATAACACTGAAACAATCAAACATGCAATATTGACATTAGGCAGTGAACAACAAGGTGTTCTGGCCCTTCTTCAAATCACAGGAAATAATGGACCAAGGAATGCCTGCTCCAAATCACCATAAAAATTAAAGCACAAATCAAAACAACACCACAACTAGATGCCATCTGTACATCCCCCAACCAGCTTATTTTTCTCCCATTCTTCCTCTAATGTGATTGGTGCTAAATTCATATCAACCTGCTAACGTATTCGAAACTGCCAGAACCATAACCAGAACTTCACACACCTCATAAGACCCACAAGTCAAGAGTTCAGTGTAGGCATCAAAGCAGCTAGAGAATACAGAAAGACAATATTGCCTCCTGAGCAATGCCAAATCATAACACCGACATTAAACTTGTACACCGAACTCAATTCTAGCAAATGGGGTCAGCTGCCGTATTCCACATTCACAACTCAAATTCACTCACAGCTTCTAGTAATAACCCCTTTCTGTCAACGAGAAGTGGAGAAAGGCCACAAACTCTTCCAATCTCCATCCATAAACACCATAGAAGACTACCAATACCTTTCAATTTCCCACGTCAACGACTGAGCAAAAAGAACAGATTTCCACCCAGAGGGAGATAAGCCAAGGGAACAAACAAAGAGCAATTGGGGAAACGTTAAAACATCCTCATTCTAATAAAGTCATCCTCTCATATGCGCCTCCCAGCCGCCTCCGCAGACGAATTCACGGCACCCAACAGAAAGTCAATCGTCAAACCACACAAAAAAAAAAAAAATGAGCAGCTGCAGAAACATTCAAAACGTCGGCCGATCCGCTAACGCCACACCAACCACATACTCCGCTCAGAAACTATCGATCAATCAGCAGACCTCAGATTTTCAATTATCACAAACGATAAATTCAGCAAGCCAGAACTTCGTGAAAGAAAGAAAAAAATCTTCGAAGGGGGAAAATAAGGGACGAAGAGTAAGAGAACGCACCTAACGACGGTAACCAGAGCCAAGAGCGATCTATTCCGAGCAGATCAAACCATCGTGAAGGGGGGAGAAGAAGGCAAACTTAGGGTTAGTCCGTCGTGTAGTCTGGTTTCGTAGAAGGGGAAATAGAGAGAGAAGCCGAGAGATGAAAAGGAAAAAAATAGGGAGAGAGAAAGCGGAAGACCGAGGAAAAAAATATATGATGTGATTGTGTTATCAACACATTCAATGAGATTTCTTCCTCTTTTCCTAATCCCCTCCGCCTTCCTCACCAAGCCACCAAACCAGGCCCATGCGGCGGCCCCGCTTTTCGGGAAAACGACGCCGTCTGCTTATTTACATCTGTCTCTCAATTTGGCCCTCCAACTACACATTTAATTCATTTACACCCTTTCTCCCCATCTTCTAAACTAAGGAGATTTATCTTTTATCTCCTCCTATAAATTTTATATGTTATTCCATGGCGATTTGAACCCGCTCCGTGGGTGTTATCCGATTTGACTCGTGATGGGATGGGAATGATCCAATTTGCAGTATCGTTGGGCGAGACATAAGTATTGATGTACTTATTTTTTACAAATAACATGTAAGAGTAGGTCGACCGTCTCGTCCTACCCTCCCTGACCCGCAGTAGCGTGGAACGGAACATAAGTATTGATGTACCCGTCTCGCCCCGCAGTAGCGCGGAGCGGGACATAAGTATTGATGTACCTGTCTCGCCCCGTTGCCATCACTATCATCAAATGATTCTATTATCGAACAACTACCCCCAAAAATGTTAGGAGTATGTAGTGTAGAATCACTAAGTCCACATTTCACTCTTTACAACTCTTTTTGTGATAAGTTTAGACTATTTTTTGCATGTTTGTTAATTCGAAGAGATGAAGTGGTACGTGTTGCTCTGATTTAAAGGTTCATTTCTCATCATATATTAATTAATTTTGATTTATAAAAACATGTGCTTTAGCTATAAAATCATTTTCATATTAGAATCACGCGACCTGTTGTGTTGAGACAGTGAATTTGGAGTGATCTTCAAAGTTCAAACTTCAAATTACTTTTATTAGGAAGGATGATGAAGGAGTTGCATGGTTCAAGATAACATTATGATAGTTCAATAAATTCTTCGTCGTATGGATAACTGGATAACTCATGATCTTCAAACGTAACGGATCGATCATTTTGAACCAACCGTTCGGGGTTCCCATTGTACGCAATGTTAGGTTTGTGATCACAAAGTTCAAGCTCTCATTTGCTGCTTCTCGATTGAGTGGAGGCTCGAGGTCTCCTTCAAAGCACACAATGTACTGAAATCGGCAGAGTTCCATCAAGTGCATGCTCTGATTGTTGTCCGCCTCTGGTGAAAGCTCTTCCGGGTTAGAGGTGAATGGTGATAAATGGAAAGTAGAAAGCACGTTCCGCCCACTACACTGAATAACAGTTCAACAGAGCTGAAACGGAAACAGGCTCTTTTTCATTAACCATCCTCATCAGCCTCACTGCATCACCTTTCTCCCTGTCAAAGTGCAACCCTGCAACAAATCCTGATGAACAATCTTATACTCCCCTCCCAACTTCTAACCATGGAGAAAAGGATGGCAACAGATGCAGATGCTTTGTTGAGCTACAAGGCTTCAAACTCTAGATCATTAGAATGTAAGCTACTTTTTTTCATTTTTGCAGGCTTTCTTTTAAGGTCATACGTTATACAACTCCCACAAATGTCATCAGGCAACCAAGATCTACACACTAATTTTATTTACATAAAAGCTCTACTAAAGATGCCGAAACGTGGAACGCCAAAGGGTTTGCTGCATTCATCTCTCCTCCATCTTATTCGCAGTAGAGATAAAAACATCGGGTTCTACTGCTGGCTACCTTGTATTCTGCTGAATTTCCAGCCTCTAAAGTTCACATTGCTCAGCCACCCAAAATTTATCAGAGGAACCCCAGATTGTAACTTCACGAGGTGCGTTCTGTACGGTACAAGTATATTTTTCAGACCTGCGACGCATCACAGTGTAAGAAAAGAAGGTTAAGTAACTTCAACATCATTACTACTAGCAATTTTACAACAGCAATCAATAAAACCTTTGGTGTACCTGCGATGGACATGGTTCTGTAAATGTGTGCAACATGAGAATCACCTCTGTTCACCATATTTGGCCTCTCCAAACAATCAAGAAACTTTAAGTCCGCCTTCAACAGCTCGGCTTGATCATGAGTGTCGTACCCCATATCATGGCAGTAGCAGCAGTAATCCAACCAATCGATCGGCCGCTTGTCCCACAGGAGAGAACCCTGATCCTTCCCACTAGACCAGTTTGGCCCACAGTAGTGTCCATAACGAGGGAACAGCTGAGAGAGGAAGGCTCTAGGGCCAGTATGCCATGGAACTTTAGACACATAAGGCCTGAACCGCAAAGGGTTACCCCTAATACCACCAGCACCACCACCCTCCACAACTTGAGCATACTGAGTCCGCCTCTTCAACTTCCTGTTTATGGTGGTTGGTCTTTCCATCTTGATGTTTGAGGCGATCGCCCACGGGATGATCGAAAAGAGTGACCATCCCCATAGCTTGAAACCCGACCCAAACCCACCAGAACCATGCTGGCTCTTTTGCTGCTGTGTCACATAATTGGGTGACACATAAACATTGGTTGCTTCAATCCTTGTTTCAGTGAGCTCTTTTGAATGCATTCTGTAAAAAGAAAGTGGGATGTCAGAAATGGAATCCTCAAGAGCAACACAAAAGATTGATGAGAAGAGAAGCTCAAGATATCAACAGCACCAATCCAAGGGGAAATCTGTCACATGAACCAAACAAAGAGGGGCTTCAGTCACACGCACAAATGCACAATCAAATCTGAACCTAAGCAGAGTGGTTTCCAGATTCTTTGCGAAATGAAAGACGACCGTGTCCAAGATTGCAATTATTTCCCGAGAAGAGTATCGGTGCCGGAAGAGAGATCAGAGTCCGAAAATCAGCGAGACCCATCAAGAAAACTACCGGCAAAGTTCTAATTACGGAATAAAAAGGGAATTGCAACGAATCCTGACAAACAAAAGAAGCAAACAACGCCGGAATTGCGTTCCGGGTTCCCGACGAACAACCATACAGACAGGGAGGGAGAGAGAGAGAAAACGTACCGAAGCGGTGGTTCGCCGGAGGGGAAAGTGGAATTCTGCCGGGCCGGAGGAGTAGCTCCTTTCATCATTTCCCCCCTATCGAGAAGCGAGAAACAGCATCCTGTTTCTCGGGTGTGGAAAGCGGTGGGGTCTCTCTCCGGCTGATCGTTCTTCGTCGCCGTTGGCCGGTGGTGTGTCTAATCTTTTCGCGTATTTATTTATTGTGGCTTTTGTGGGCGGGATTAAAGATTGAAGAAGAAGGCTTATTTTTTTCCCATTAAAGAAAAAGGAGAAAATTGGAAGCTTTTCCTCATCATTCTATCGAAAGAAGGGCCTGGACCCTCCGCCGCTCGATCATCCTTGGATCGATGACTTGAAGCAAAACGCCACGTCTCTATCGTAAAAATAAATGCCACGTCTCTCTGTCGTGGCGTCTCTCTATTGGATGCGCTTTGATGTGGTATTGTGGTAGTCCAAGGTCAGAAGACGAAAGCGGATTTCTTGCGAAATGGTACCCATTTTTATCTTAAATTTCTCATTCTGAAAATTCTCTGCAAATTCACAAAGTAGGTCCTCTGCCCAATGCATTTGCATCACCATAATGCAATGTACGTCAAAACAACCCACAAATTCGGCAGTTACAACTTACAAAAAGGGACCAATGAAGATCCTGAGAGCTTAATTTCTAACAATACATCAGCATTGCAGAATCGGATGTATTGCAGAGCGATCACCACCCAGGAATCTCCCTGCCTGATGATGAAGGTGCAGCACATCACTGTGGCAAGTAATTTTGTCAAAGAGGGATGATCAACATCATCATACATATTTGCCTCCTGAGGTCTAAAGAAGAGCACCTAGTTCATACCCGAATGATAGACCCGGGAGATGCACATCCCGACCAGTGAATAGAGCCATCGGAGTTGCTGGCCACCGATCCTGCAGGAGGCGGAGACCATGGGGGAGTACGGGTGGCTGGTTGCAAAAGGTGACAAGCCCGGCAGGTGGATGGAGGACGGGAAAGGCTGCAGAGTTCTCCTTCCACGCCTGCAAATGTTGGGATTAAATCATAAATCGATCACAAAGCTGATTCCCATATTCAATCTGATAAGAGGAAAACACACAGCTATCATTACACTGTACCTTGTGAGTGGATAGTGGAAACTGTTGAACTTCAACTCCAGTTCAGAGAAGAGTCTGCACCAATCATATGCTATGGTTGCAACTGAAATTTAGAAGAGGTTCCGTTAGTGTACAGTCCACATTTTCAGAAATAACATACTAATCCAAGATCTCAGCAAGAAAATCATCCAACGGATGCAACACGAGAAAAGCAACAGAAGATTGTTCTCTTTCTCTCCTTTTTTTACCAAAGAAATCACTCTGGTGGCCACAAAAAGGAATGACGTAGGGAAGGAGGAAGACTGCAGTACACTACAAAAGAACAAATATGGCTCCTCCAACTAAGAAATTTGAAAAGCTACATGAAACCAGAACAAGAAATTTGATAGAAGCCATTACTTGTGTTTCTTCTTGCAATTTGAGCCACCTAAAACACAAGATTTAGCTGAACCTAGCAGATGATTCTAGCATCCGACGACCCAACATTTGACACCAAGACCTCTTGCCAGTAGCGATAGGAATGCAAACTGCAAAAATGCTATGTCTGCAGAAAGTAAAACCGTAGAAAGTACACATTAGCCATTGGATATACAAACCTAGCATAGTAATAAGGCGCTAAAAAGAATGGTGAGCCAAGGATCACATACATCCCTTGTAACATATAACATGAAGCCCTTAGAAACTAATGATTTCCTCTTTGCCTCCCAAGTATCAAGCAAAAGGAAGGTCGGCAGCATAATGACAAAACATGACCCTGAAGACTAAGGCAGAAATTAAACAACATAATCCCATTGTTGTATCTATCCTAGAAACGTCAGTCACCACAACTTACAGAAGAATGAATAAAATCAAATTCAATTCAATTATTTTCACCTGATGAGAATTGAGACTCTCCACAGACTTTCTGAACCAGCATTTAGTGCAAGGAGATGTGATCATCAAGCAGCAAGTGCCTTGAATTTAGGAATAGCCTCTTTCAATTTCGTCAACACATCATCACATGAGAAGTTCTTTCCTTCTGATATCTCATGACGAAATTCTGGCAAGATCTCTGCAATATTATAATCAGCAGGGCTGTCACATAGACAAACCAAGATCGTGTTGAATATCCTCGAGTCAAGAACAACACCCTGCTCTGCCATTTTATGTAGCAGCTTTATGATGTCTTCAGTGTCACCTTTCGAAACGACTCCTTTCAATAAAGAGTCATATACATGGACATCTGGTTTGATTCCCGAGGAAAGCATTCTCTCAAAGATGCTTCTAGCCTCTTCCACTTGTCCAAGTTTCGCTAATCTATTGATCAACACGGCATAAGTAAAAGCATCTGGAGCAAGGCCCAATTGAACCATGTCATCGAGCAATTTTTTGGCATACTGTATATTTCCAGCTTTTAGTGTCCCATCAATCATTGTATTGAAGGAAATCACGTCAGGAATATGGTGACAATCTCTCATCTCTTGAAACAACCTCATTGCTTGCTCCACGCTGCTTTCCTTGCAAAGTGATGAAATCAGTACATTGTAGTCGGATAATGTAGGGATAAGCCTGCACATTCTCATTTTAGTAAAAAGTCCTTTTGCTAAATTCAGCAACTGTATCTTACAAAGTCCACCAATCATGAGACTGTATGTTATTGAATTGGGAACAAGCCCCAGTTCGAGAACCTCTTTCCAGAATTGCATGGCTTTGTCAATTGAACCTGCCTTCAGATGCTCCCCAATCAAGACATTGTAAGTAATCAAATTACCAGAACTTCCACGATCAATCATCATATCAAATATTTCCATAGCTTCATCAAGGCGACCTTCCTTGCATAGCCCCTGGATTAGGATGTTAAATGTGAACACATCTGGTTCTATGTGATCACCATCCTTCAGGACAGAAAAGAAAAATTTTAGTGCCTCGTCAACCTGACCATCATTGCTAAGTCCCATTAGCAATGAATTGTAAGACACCACATCAGGTTTCCTCCCCTTCTCCAACATCATTTCCATGATCTTGAAAGCATCAGCGACAAGACCATCTTTGCACAGTCCATTAATTAGAACATTATACATTACAGTAGTAGGCTTTGCATTGCCTGCTATGACTCGATGAAATAATTCTACCGCCTTCTTAGATTTTCCATCTTTGCATAGCCCATCCATCAGACATGTGTGTGTAACAATATCAGGATCAATGCCCCTTTCCGACATAGTGTTTAACATAGTCACAGCTTCCTCCCACTGCCTCATCTTACAAAGGCCATTTAGCAAACAACTATATACAACTACATTTGGAAGAATGCCTCTCTGCAGCATCTCATCAAACACAGCCTTTCCCTCATTGTACGATCCTCTTCTACAAAACCCATTTATGATTGTACCATAAACAACAACATCTGCATCTAAACCCTTCTTCTTCATCTCCTCCAACAATGACAAAGCCTCCTCCACTTTACCATCTTTACAAAGACTGTCCATCAGAGTTGCGTATGTGAAGGAATTTGCCTCGCAATTTGCGCCCTCCATTTCTGCTAACAAATTCACTGCGCTTTCTAGTTGATTCTCCTTACACAGACCACTTATGACCGTGTTGTAACTAACAGCATCAGGAGAAAGATTAACTCTTCTCATGTTACTCAACAAACCCATTGCCTTGCCAACTTCACTTTTTCTACACAAACCCTTCAACATGAGATTCATAATATACACGTTCGGACTAAATCCACGCTTCAATATAGATGAAAGCACCCCAAACCCGAATTCTGGCCGACGGGTATGAACAAAACAATCAATCAAACCGCTTAGTGACATGAAGTCAGGCAGGATACCAACGATGGTCATCTTCCCATATACTGAAAAGGCTAAGTCGTAGTTTTTGGACCTTACCAGTGACAAAAGAAGATAATTGCAACTTGAAGGAGAGGGCAAATGCGAAGTAGAATTGAGGGAGTCGTGAAACAGTGAAACTGCTTCAGTGAAACGATTATTGGGTTTCTCGCAGAGGAATCTCAGCTGGGTTTCTAAGTCGGAGATGGAGGAGAAGAACTTGAACTGCGGCCGCTGCCCCCGGGAACGGAAGCAGTTGCAGGTCATTGAGATGGATAGACCGCTTTTGTTCATTGTTGAATTGAATTCCGGTGCCTTTTGACTCCGGTTTCGAGAGAAGGAACGGAAAGGGGTTTAGAGAATCTGGGAGTGGGGAGTTCCCTCTTTGATCCGTTTCACGAAGGGATCCAATGCGCTTCAGAAAATTGAGCGCGGCGGCAGTCGACGATTTTTCCCATTCATGAAACTCTTAGTCCCGTTATTTTACCAAAAATATCTCTGTATTATAATTCTTGACAAACAAGTATCTATATCGTACATTGGAGATTTTGTCCGCCTTCACTCCAACAGGTGAACATTTTCGTCCGTAACCATTATTGAGGCGTGAATTTATAGTAAAAATGGATTTGATTGATGATTTATGTGTTATGTAATGTGATTTGAAATTCGATTTTCCTCTTTGCATTTCTTATGCTAATTAATCTCAATATTATTAATCCTAAGTAACACGTTATGTCGTGACCATGAGGTAAAAGGAGGAATTCGCCCGAAAGTCAATTTTAGGGGGAAGTATTCATTTGTAGCATACATGATGATGAGTCATTTAATACGTGTTCATGAAACATAATTGATTTGGTCCCGTTTTATAATGAAATCACATTGTAACTTTTAATATATGAACTATATATGGATAAACAATAACATGTTTATTAACAATCGTAAGGATATGTTTGTTAATAAGATTGGTCTTGCCCAACTGATGTGATGTTAGATAACTTCGCTCTCCTAGCGACAAGCAATGCATGTGGTTCAATTGAGGTATCGTTACAAAGCCCCTCTGCCTTTTTTTGAAGGGTTGTATGGCCCATATAAGCGAATGAAAGGTGTTTAAGCCTAGAAAGTTCCAGGCGGTTTATGAGAGACGAGCAAAAGCTTCTGTTCCAGGTAGTGGGTGCACTCCAAACAACCTACAAAACAGGGGTCCGTGGGCGGTCGCCCAGGACACTCACCAACGCTCAAGTTAGAGAGAGAATAAGAAGTGTGATTTATGTTTAGATAGAGAGAGTAGTTGAGTTCCATTAATGCTGATACCTGTGTATTTATAGCCAACCATCTCGAGCATGGGGCATTAAATGCTAATGTCAGGCGGCCTATATGCACCTTACCTTTTCTGAACCGCCTACGGCGGGCATTTAATGCTCAGTCCTGCTGTATCCGAGGTTGGTATCCTAGGGAGATCTCGTCTTCTGACACCAACGGTCTTTTGTGTCAGGCGGCCTAGTCCCTGTCTTGTCATAGGGCGGCCGCCTGCTGTTCCCTTTCTCCCATGCTTCTCCTCGGGTTCCCCGCTGAGACTTGGACTCCTCCCTTGGGCCCTGTTCGACTTTCTTCTCGTGGGCCTCGGGCCCAGCACTGCTCAACTATGGGCCCAACAAAAGGTAACATAGATTGAGTTTTTTAACCTTATAACCTCATTGATATGATCTACTTATCGGGCAGGATATGATTTCAACTCCTAAAGTAAGCATAGCCCAAACAAAACTTAAAATGTTAGATACAAGTGTTTAATGTAACCACACATAACATTCGCCCAATAAATCATACAAAATAGGTGTTCCACGCAATAGACAGGGTTAATATGTTAGGGTTAATATATTTGTATGGTCGAAACTTTTCGCATATTAAACATCTTGTCCAATCTTTTTGATATATAATTGTGGCTTTAAATATGCATCAAAGTTATGAAATTGGCCAAACCCGAGATTTGACCGTTATCTTGGACGGTCAAATGCGTTGACTAACGATCAACGCGCCACGTCACCATCCAATCAGCACAATATATGTTAAAAAAATTCAAAAAACCACATAATCTCCAAATGTGAATTATTTCAATTTAGTTAAAATAAATATCAAAAAGAAAAAACAACAAAAGATCAAATGCATATCTTCTTCCTCACAACAGTAACATCGAGATTTGGGCGGCTCGGAGATTTGGGCGGCGACCAAGAAGCGAGCGGGGAGGATTTTGGGAGGGAGGGTTTTACACTAGTTTAATAATTGCGAGGTGCGAGCTGGCGAAAAAGTTAATCTGCTAACTTGAAGATTCGTTAGCAGATACTAACTGATATCCAAAATACATGGAGTAGTATCCAAGTACTAAAGTATCTAGAGAGCACAGACTAGTATTCAAGGTTTGCTAACTAATATCCACCATGAATCAACTATTATCCCAAATTCACAAACTAATATCTAGATAACACAGAATAGTATTCATACTGCACATAATTAGTATCCAGATAACACATAAGAGTATCCATATTGAATACTAGTTGGTTGATTGTGGATATTAGTTGGTATCTGCTATCTGGATACTAGTTTGTGATGTTTTGAATACTAGTCTGTGTTATCCTAGATACTTTAGTGAAATTAGCAGACTTGGATACTAGTTCATACATTTTGAATATTAGTTAGTATATACTAACAACTTATGCAATTAGCAGAATAACTAGGCTGGCGAGCTGGTGGAGGTTGCCGATGAGGAGGAGGGTTGGTGGGCCCGGAGCAGGTTTTGGAGCCGGTGGGTTCGACAGAGGAGGATGTGAATGGAGACGAGGAGGAGGAAGGTGATTCACCTCGAGAAATTTGCAGTATTTGTGAATCAAATTTCTTTTTTGTTTGTCGGATGAAATTATTTTGATTTTTGATATCTTATTTTATAATAATTGTAATAATTCAAAATTGAAGATTATGTGGATTGTTTCTCAATTTTTTAATATTTATTGTGCTGATTGGACGGTAGCGTGGCGTGTTGACCATTAGTCAACGCGCTTGACCATCCAAGATAACGATCAAATTTCGAGTTTGACAAATTTCGTAACTTTGATGCATAGTTGAGGCCACGATATTATAGATCGAAAAGATTGGACAGGATGTTTAATATCTGAAAAGTTTGGACCATACAAATATACTAACCCAATAGATAAGCATAAGTTACATTCATTGTGAGATTTAAGTACCAGTCTACCACTATTGGCTAAAGGAAAGAAGATCGTGGTACCTTGTCACTATCCAACTCTTTGAATTTGACGGTCATGGATTAATGTGATAAGATCTGAATAAACTTTAACGTGCCATTGTGCTACCATATTTTCTCTTCTAAAATTTGGTTCCATATATCCTTTGAAAGGAGCCCTCTCCCTCCTTGTACATGTGATAGCTTGAGTTGCACAATCCTAACAAGTAGGATTCGAACGATGGACCTCCATTATTCATAATGATAAGTTGTGGCTCTTATCTGCTCAATACCGCTACCATGATTTCATCATAAAGACATCAAAATATGGCATTTCACTAAGAATAATAGTTACATAATGAAAATCTAGGTATCATCCAGCGTTAGAATCAAAATTGGCCACTAGACGAAAATCCTAAGCACAAATTGTCTTAAGGTGATTTTGCCTAGTATGGCTGCCCTTGGGTCTCAAGGGACAAACTATTAATTAGTGCCTTGTGTGTTGGAGACATCGAGAGATTATTGAGAGCACTTGTTCTTCAGATGTCCATGTCCGTTCAATTATGATATTTCATGGGTTTAAGCGATGTACTTGTTTGGTCCCCAACGATCAACTTTAGTTTATGGTTGTGTAGTGATATGCTATCGGAGCAGCCTCAAACTTGTATGCTATAGTGCGTTTTCTTCTTGTGGAGAATTAGAAAATTTAGAAATAAAATGATTTTTTAGTATACTCAACCACATGCCCATTCTCTTGCTTGTTAGTTTTCCTATCAAGTCCATGAAGTTGTTGTTGACTATCTTCTTTCCTTGTCTCATTAACCTCTCCTTCATCATCCAACTCCTTCCCGCAAGGTGCCCCCTCTTGGAGATTTCATGAAGATAAATTTAATTTTGTTGTGCGAGACTACGGATGTTCAACTTGCCTAGTTGTTCATGGCATAGACGAGCAAGTCTTGTTAGCGTATGGGTCTATTGATCACGGTGTGACTGATCCCTACCTTTGCACAGCTGCTTGCTGCTAGAGATGCTCTATCCTTTGTTTTTGCACAAGGTTGCCTCGTGTAATATTGAAGGGTGAATAAGAAGTGGTGATCCAGGGACGAAGCTAGAGTGTAAGCGGGGGCAATACACTTAACAACATTACAAAGCGAGGCAAGTTGTAGTCTAGTGGTATATAGATTTTCTTTTACATGGAAGGTCTGAGGTTCGATGGTTACTGGAAGCAACATTTAAAATTCAATAAGTTATGATTCTTAACCCCAAAATTTGCATTCTTTACAATTTGGTAGCAAAATTTATTGTTTGGTACATCTTTTGCCCCAAAATGTTCATGCCTTACAATTTGGTATCTAAATTTTTCATTTTGTTACATATTTTGCCCATTGTTTTACAATTGCCTTGGTACCAAACTTTTCATTTTCAATTTTTCTATGGCTTACGATTTTGTACTAAACATTCCCATTTTGTACTAAACATCCCTTTGCCGCGCCAGAATATTGAGGATAGATTGATTTGGCATCCAACCTCTGATGGCAGGTTCTCAGTTAAATTTGCGTACTATGTTGCGGTGAATTTGGATCGCTAGAAGGGGCATTGGAGGGCGTTGGCGAGTTGGATGGATAAGCCCAGTTGGATCAGGATGTGGGAGGCGGATATTCCACCGAAGCTTAGGGTATTTGTATGGCAAATCTTTCATAGAATTCTGCCTACGACGGAGGCTTTGCGGGAAAAGAAGGTGGAGGTCCTGGCTCGATGCCCAGTGTGCTGGATGGCAGCGGAAACTCTGGAACATTTGTTTTGGGAGTGTCCGGTGGCGCGTGCATTGTGGGATCAGTCGGGGCTAGCTCACCTTGGTGAAGGTTTGCCTCGTCATACATTCCCACTCTTTTTGAAGAAATTGTTAGCGGTGCTGAATAACCCTGAGTTGGTGATGACTGTTGTGGCTGTGCTGTGGCAGATTTGGCGATCCCGTAATTGGGTGGTCTTTGAAGGTAAACAGTACGGGATCCCTGCTTTGATGCGGCAATTCCACCAACAAGTCCAGGAATGGATTAGTTTTCCCCGGGCTAAGATCGATCAGAGTGTGCGCCCCCTGGCCCCTACTAGTGCTGTGAGTGGAATTGACACGACAATTTGTAGGTGGGATGGGGCTGTGCGGTTGGGTTCTCATGCGGCTGGGGGGATGGTTATCCTTGATTCTGGGGGAGAGGTCATCCTGGCAAAGGGGATTCACTTCCCGGGTCTAGGGGATCCAATGATGGTGGAAGCACTAGTACTTCGGGAGGCGATTGGTTGGTGTGTGGCAAATGGATTCTCTGTCATGAGGTTTGAAGGTGATGCCCAGGTGGTAATTGAGAAGATTCTCCGGAAAGATGTTCGGGATAATCAAATAGGGGCAATTCTGGAAGAGATAGTCAATTTGTTTGCCACGAACGTAGGCTTCACTGTACGATTTGTAGGTCGACGTAACAATAGGGTAGCTCATTTGGTAGCTAGACAGGCCCTTTCTTTGTTCCCGACTACATGTCGATCTTTTGATTTCCAGGCCTGGCTGGATTCCAGGGTGTAATATCTTTTGATTTCAATCTATTGATTATCTTTTGTCAAAAAAAAAAAGATGTATCTTTTGTCCATTGTCTTAAAATTGGTATCAGATTTTTTAATTTGAGGTAATTTTTTTCTCATTTTAACATTAAGTTTCTCAAATTTTACAAGTTGGGCACTCCTTAAGCGTGGTTTGAGGTGGCAGATAGGGTGTGGGACGGCTGTTCGCATCCTTGAGGATCCATGGTTACCTTCTTCCCCTCCTTCATCGCCTCTGTTGCTGCCCGGGGTTATTCTGCAGAATCAGTTCGTTGCTTCGCTCATTCATCCTCTCACCCGGACCTGGAACAGCGAGCTTCTCCGCGCTTCATTCGAGGCAGAGAGTGTACAGTGGATTCTTTCTATTCCCTTGCCATCTGCACCGCGACCCGACAAGCTTATATGGCATTTCTCGGCGACGGGTCAGTACACTGTCAAGACCGGGTATCACCTACTCTCCTCTGGCCGCCACCTTGAGTTTGATCCCTTACCTCCTTTCCTTAATCAACAATTCTGGAAATTCTTGTGGAACCTGCCTATTCCCCCCAAACTTAAAGTCTTCTTGTGGCGAGTAGTTCGTGGATTCCTTCCAATGCGCCAAATACTGAAAGGGAAGTCTTTATGTGACACTGACACTTGTCCCGTTTGCTCAGCTGCCGTGGAATCGATCTCTCACTGCTTCTTTGATTGCAGGATCGCGCGAGGGCTATGGACACTAGCAGGGAAGGAGCATATCCGGGCTGCCATGGCTGTTGTTAATTACGATTTGGCCTGGTCCAACCTATTTTTCTCTATGCAGCTTTCCAAAATGGACATAGCAGAGGTGGTCTTCCTGGTTTGGAGATTATGGAAGGGGAGATGCTGGTCTACATACGACTACATTCAGTATCTACCAGGTCCATTGCACCGCCAATTCACTAATCAAGTTACCGAGTGGAAAGAGGCTACAATTGATCAGCATGGCCAGGCCGCTTCGGTACGAGTTCCTCGCAGCCTTCCTCCCCAACCTTCCTGCCCGCCAGGCGGTATCCTCATGAGGTTTGATGGAGCGACAAAGAAGGGAGTCGGGGGCAGCGTCGGATTTGTGGGTTTCAATGGGGACCGCGCAGTGATATGCGCCTACGGTAAGTACTACGAAGGTATCTCCGATCCATTCTTACTTGAATTACTAGCCTTAAGGGATGCAATGGTTTGGAGCTTACACCGTGGCTATTCATCTGTTTGCTTTTGTGGGGATTCACAATTGGTCATACGACGAGCTATGGAGGACGAGGTCTGCCATGATAGAGGTGGAGCGGTACTGGAAGAAGTGCGAGTCATGAAGACCTCCTTTGCATTTGTTTGTTTTGTTTTTGCTCCTCGTAGTACTAACAGGGCTGCCCATCGCGTGGCACAAACGGCCCTTGCATCGGTAGCGACCCAGTTGGTTGACTACCGCATTTATATTTCATCTGCATTGTAAAGAACTATCTATTACAAACTATCTATGACAAAAAAAAAAAAAAAATTTACAAGTTGATTCACTTATATGTATATATGTTCTCATAAAAGCAAGGGCAAAAATGACATTTCTCACAAAAAGTAAAATAACATGTTGAATACGAAAATGACTATCACCAAAACCAAACAATGTAAAGTACATTACATCATTTTTCTTAACTAGATGCATATTACAATGCATGCATATTACAATGCATTGATTTAAATATCACGAAAATCAAACGAGCCCAGGTCATGGAACATGTCCTAATTAGGGATGGCAACAAAATCCGAACCCACGGGTACTCTACTCTACCCAACCCGGTCAACGCGGGTAAAACCCGTGTTAACGGGTTTTGGGCCGGGTTTGGATTTAAACACGTTCACTATTCACCGGATTGGGTTGAGTTTGGGTTTAGGTAAACCCGCCCCATAGGTACCCGCCCACACTCATATAATTAATTTTCCCGGTATATTTAATATTCTAAATGACTAATATTTTTTTATGTTTGTGGAGACATGTCAAATTTTTTCTTTCTAATTGTGTAGAACGAACTTGATATTATCGAGTGTAGAGTGAAGAAGTTTAATTGAAAAGGAGGAAGAAGCTTTCAGTTAATCATGTTGTTTATAGATACTTTGTGATTTGCTTCAATTTTCTTGAGTTTTCTAGATTGGTGTTGAACAATTTGTATGGTTAATTTGTGATTTACTTGAATTTTCGAGAATGGTATTTTATTTATGGATAATTTGTATTGAGAGATTGATATTTGACTTTTATTTTGATAAAAACTTGTTATTGTAAATTTTTTACGACAAAAACCCATGGGTACCCACGAACCCGCGAATAGCCGGATACCCAGCGGGTGGATTTTACCCGGGTTTTTTCACGGATAAACCCATAAGTTTGGGTTTGACAAAACCCGACCCAACCCCACCTATTGCCATCCCTAGTCCTAATTGTTAAAAGCTTTAATATGTTTTATCAGTTAGGCAGGGGCGGAGCCAGGATTTAATCATGGGGGGGGGGGGATTTTCTTAATACGTTACTGCAAAAGAGGAAAAACTAGTAATAAAAATTATTTTAAAAACGTATTATTATAATTAAAACTCAAAACTTTATTGAGTTCACTACAAATCATAAAAAAATATAATGACAATAGTCGAATTAGCTAATAACTAGCTTCCAAAAAAGAAAGGAGAGGGCTACTGCTTACCAAAAAGGCAAAAAAAATAAAATATATGCTCACCTAAAGAATTGAACCTGTGACCATTTGGTCCTTCTAAATTGCCAATTCCGCTAGGCTAACTCAAATTTCATGTTATAATCTGCACGTTTTGTCTTTTTATTAAATACTTTCTTGTTTATACGTATTATCCTAAACCATTTCCACGTAAGTTCGAGATTTTCTGGGGGGCCGGGGCCCCACTTAGGGCCAATGTAGCTCCGCCCCTGCAGTTAGGAGTACCTACCTCGAGCAGATGCATTAATACTGCATACTAATGCACAGGGGCGTAGCTAGAGTAATGAAAAGGAGTGTCATGGCACACCCTTGATTTGGAGTAATACACACAATATAGTAATATAGATATACCAATAATGAAATGTGAACCTTAAATTTCAATGTTAATTGTCAAATATTTACCATCACAACCACAATCAATTATATAAATTAATTCTACCAACTAATTTCTACAGTAGTAATACAGTATAGTTTATCAAAATGGGGAAGAGGGTACATATTATTAGAACAAATCATTAAACTTTCTATCATAACAGCGAAAAAATTGGTTCCCATCAATGTATTTGTTTGTGAAACTATGTTTAGTTTGGTTCTTCGATTAGTCAATACACATGTTGTTATAAACTTTTATGAAATGCAACAATTGACCAACCTTCGAATCAAACCAAATGAAATTGTGAATGGATAACATTAAGTGTGAAATCTTGATAGTTTGAAAATTTATGCAGTTTTAAAATAATTTCATGTACCAAATGCGAGATGCATCAAAGCTCATTGTTCAAAATTATTTTAGTGCACCCCCTTAGATCAAATTCTGGCTACACCACTACTAATGCATTTCAACATAATCACACATTTCATAAACTAATCCATCAAGTGGCATCAAGAGATCCATAGTTTACGAAAAAACAACTATATGTTACCAGTTACTGTACACCCCGACCATAAAGAAATAAAGATTATATATATATTGCCAAAACATACGAGCAGGGTTTATTCTGACAATCTCGACCTCTATCAATGTGCTGAACCCTACATTTCAAGTTGCAATTGGAATACAAGAGGTGGTCCAAAGTCCAGTCCCCATTGAGGTTTAATGGAAGGCAGACGAAATTAAAATCCCGCCAAAAACTTGCGCTGGCAAACCAGCCCAAATACGAAAAGGATGCCCTGCCTCGTACACGTGGCAGACCCTTGATGCCAACAAGACTCGGACTTGACTGGGACTGACCGCAGCCGATCAGAGCTCGCTAACATTAGTTTCCATCACAAGCCTCTCTCTCTGTTCTTCTTCTTCCCTTTTCTTTTCCCAAAATTTTCTAATTACTGCCTGCGAGCCATTGCTATCAGGGTGAGAGAGAAGTAGGTGGAAAGCAAAGTCTCTCCCTCCCTCGCCCCCACTTTCTCACTTTCCTTCTCCCGCAAACTGACGACGAACAGAGAGAAAGCGTGTAGAGAGAGAGAGAGAGAGAGAGAGGGAGTATTATACTATTGAGGGACAGACAACCACTACTCCATCCCCTCCACCTAATCCATCCATCACCAGAGAACTACCACGAGAAAGTTTTAGGGCTCCTCCGTAGGGAAAGTGCAGTTTTGGCTTCGCGTATAGAGTAGAAAGAAGCGTAGGAGCTTGGGGGAATTATTGTCTTTCCTTTTGTTGCGGTTCGAAAACCCTAGCGAAAGGGAAGGCAGAGAGGAGTTAAAGAAGGAAAGGAATCGTTATCGTCACTTGCTTGATTGTGGTTTGCTTTCATTGAGGACATTCGATTCCGATCAGTGTGGTTCGGGTGGAGTGTAGAGATCCCTCTCTTCCCGATCTGCTTGGTCCGCCGCCCGGCCGAGTCGGGCAGCAATGGGCCGCTCGGGTCGGAGGAGTTGAACACGGTAATGTCCGGTGGCGGCGCGTCGTTGATCCACCTCCGAAGCTGTGTCAATGTCGACGGCTTCTTCAGCTGTTTTTGTTGAGCGTCCTAGACCTGCTACTTCCAACACGGTACTGCATTTTCTTTACTCTTCTTTCGGCTCTCTTGATAATTTGACCGGACAGTGTGTGGAATTAGGGTTGAATGTAGTTGGATCTTGATCATGATGATGTTTACCAACTGCAATGCGTATGATTTATGCATCATTTCTAGGGCTTTAAGTGCTGGAAGTAAATCACTGCGTGGATGGCATTTTCCTTTTAACTTTTTTCCTTTTACAATTTGCATGATAGAAAGAAATCGAAGATGCCAATGGTCATTGTAAAGACCTGACATTCTTCTTGTGGCTTTCGGAATTACACGTCAATTGGTAGATTGCTCTATTTTTAGGATGGTTCTGTTGGATGATTCTGGATTGGATTAAAATTTATGGTACTTTTTTTAGTCCCAGTGTTCGTCTGAACTTTGAGCTTATGAAAGGATGTTCTGTTCATTGCATGAATTAGGCGGCATTCTCTTGCTTACCGTAACAGAGTGGTTAAGCTCCGATTGTTTACTGAATTAATCGGTCTGAAAAACAAAGTCAAACATAATATGAGGTGCCTTCTGATGCTATGCGTTGGTTTTGTTCACATTTGAAGAGAATGGGGACCTGAGTGGCTACTAATGAGTAATGTCCTTGAGACTATTGGAAGATGTAGGTGCATAATATGAGGTGCCTTCCTGTCTTCCGTGCAATAGGAGGACGCTATGTTTGCACCTGATCCTTGATGAAAGTTCGAACTCTATATGTTTACAATTGGGTTAAACAACAGGATATTTAACTTTTCAAATTTAAAGAAGAAATAGTTAATTGAGTTTCATTTGTCAATTGTTATGATCAAATGTATTGTTAGTGCCATTTGATTTCAATTTATGTTTGTTTACCCATGGCCAGCATTTATACGTTCTAATTCGGCCAATTCTGTGACAGGTTTTTAAAAGTGGACCTCTGTTCATATCTTCTAAAGGTTGGTGGCAGCTCTTCCTTGTTACCAATTGATTCTCAATTTAACTCTTTCCTGGTCAGTGTTCTAAAATTCAGCAATTGTGCGGAAGACTACTTTGCTAGTTTCTTTATCTGAACATTTCACATCTCCTTAAAGCACAAGATGGAACAGTGAGCTGGATTGGAAGCAGTAATGACTGAGTAGAAATTTCCTCAAACTTATCTGTACAGTTGTAGAACCATCAACTTGAACCCTATCAATTTGATGTCTCACTCGTTTGTTTGAAAGGAAAACACAATCACTACTAGTCCAGTTGAGTTCATGTTAAGTCGCAACACCCTTACATCTATCATACTTTGCTTGATTCTTGTGATATGAACTTGTTTGATCCAGTTTCCAATGATTTCTGGGTGGCATATCCTTCTGTTTGGTGTGGAAGGGGGGTAGGGGGCCTCTGGAGCTCGAGGAACTGAGATTAGTCCTTAATGCACAATAATATTTAAAGAGGGTGGAGGGAAACCTCATATCATCACGACCTTCTCTCATTTGGCTAGCTCAACAATAGTAAGAGGAGGCTTGTTATGAGTTTTATGTTGGAATTTTGTTGCAATTTTATTCACCTGCAAATCCTCCAGATTTCCTCTCTTAATCTCACCCATTGAATGACTTATTTAAGGCCAGAGAAATCATAGAAGAGAGATAACTGTCCTCGGACTTGAATCCAAAACTCTGCTTGTTTCACTAATTGTATGTTGCATTGTATATATAAGTTATAAGAACAGGTTTACTGTACAGCTCAGATTTTGTGTGGTATGGAATGTCACAATGTTTGTAAATTTGTTATTTGTTAATTGACATTTTTAATCCGTAAATCAAAGGGTTTGTAAACATTTACATAAGCTTTTATAAGATTATTATTATCATTGTTCAGTGAAAGACGAATGTAAATTTGTAGTACAATTCCATTTGTCAAAATTTGCAAATTTATGTATGCACCCAAAAACCAGGGTACAACATAGACGCAATCCGGGAAACAATAATTTTATAGGAACAGTTGGTAATAATAAACCAACTTCCCATGTACTACTACTTCCATGATAATACCTCACAAATAGTAGGACCTCCTAATCGGTTGTGTTGCCCTAAGAGTAATGTAGGGACAATAACATTCACCACAAGGAGGTTTGAACTTAGAAGCAAATATCATCTATAGAAAGAACAATATCAGGACCTTCTTAAGAAGTAAAACAAACTGTAAAGAAGAAATAGAAACTCTAATAAGATAGGAAACTGAGCTGTAGTTTACAACTCATGTCCCTTCTTTATTATCTGACTTTTACATTTATTTTTATTCTACTTAATTGTTCTTATTATTTTCTTTCACCCTCCTTATTCTCTATTCAAACAATGCTCTACATCGCTACTTTGACCCTCTCAATATATTCACCCTCCTCATTTCCCAAACAGAAGGGCATATATAGTATATATTCGCTTCTGGGTTGGAGAAGGAATGTCTTGTCCGGTGCTCACAGCTAGTATTCAATTCCTGCAGGACTAGGTTGGAAATCATGGAAGAAGCGGTGGTTTATCCTCACACGCACATCTTTGGTCTTCTTTAAGAATGACCCGGTTAGTTTATCTTTGTTAAGTGTCTTTACTTTTTCTACTTGTAGTTCTATCTTTGTTAATCCTCTCCACTTGACAAAGATGCCTGCTATATATCCTTTGGATGGTACTTTTCCCCTCGTACTTCATACTTATCAAGGATGAAAACACTGCTATTGATTTTGGTCAATATTGGACATTTGATTATCTTACCTCAGTTTGCTGTGTTTGATTGCACCTGGTAGTGAAATGATTTGTATTATTAGTGTGTTCTGTGTTTTATGATCATGCTCCAGCTGTATTATTTTTCACGCATACTATATTTGAATTTTCTTAGTGAGGTGTTGGTAGTTTGACTGTGCCACAGTCTGCTGCTAACTGAAACGTCAGGTTAATTATGCATGAAAACAAATTGTTAAAGCTGTTACTCATATTTTTTCTTCTTCTTTCCTGCAGAGTGCCTTGCCACAAAAAGGCGGTGAAGTGAACCTAACTTTAGGAGGAATAGATTTAAATAATTCTGGGAGGTAGTGCCTGATTACCTTCTTTGTTGTGGTAGTTCTTTCATATTTGTTGGTCTTGTATTTGATTTCCTTTTTTTACAGTGTGGTTGTAAGAGAAGATAAAAAGTTGTTGACTGTTTTGTTTCCTGATGGTCGGGATGGGCGTGCTTTTACTCTTAAGGTAAGTGCTAGTTTCCTTTTCCCATATTCAAATTGACCCTAGCCTAGATTTATCCTCTGAGGCCAGTTTCAATGTTGCTCATTATCTGCTGGCCTTTCCGTAAGCATTGTATGTGGACACAAACAATATTCCCTTAACGGTTATAATGGTTATCTACGTCTAAAGTTGTTTGTGACATTTCAGGCTGAAACTTCAGAGGATCTGTATGACTGGAAGACTGCTCTTGAACTTGCCCTTGCACAGGCACCAAGTGCTGCTCTTGTTATGGGGCATAACGGGATTTTTCGAAGTGACACTACTCATCCTGTTGATGGCTCTTTCCATCAATGTTCGTACTCCATAACAAGTCTCCAAACCCATCCCTTCTTCTGTTATAAATGATATATATATCCAGTTCGTGAATATTCCTGTCCTGGTGTTTCATATGCTCTAGCCAACAATTTTGCCCTTGGTTTTCAGGGAGGGAGAAGCGTCCTGTGAAATCATTAGTTGTTGGAAGACCTATTTTGCTTGCTCTAGAAGATATTGATGGGAGTCCATCTTTTCTTGAGAAAGCACTTCAATTTCTTGAGAAGTATGGTGAGTCTAGTTGCATATACTCTGCTTCCTAGTGACTGTCTTTCTTTAACTGTGTGACTAGCTACTTTTATAATGGAAAAATACTGCCAATTTGTCTAGCTGACTTCCGAAGTAGGACAAATATTAACCTGTATCGGAGGGGAAATAAAGGAGTGAAGGCTATGCACAAAATAATGTGGATTCAGAAACTGCAGGGGCAGCTATTATTTTTTGCACATTATAGGGTGCTTAGCTTCACATGTGAAAATGGTTGGATTTTATTTCTTTTTTTCTTTGTCGGGGGGGGGGGGGGGGGGGGGTAGTTAGTAAAACTGAATTATAGTTACTGGCATCATATGTGAAAATATTCGACTCACAATCTGCGCCTCGGACCTTTCCGATGCAATGGTTGGTGGTAGTAAAACTGAATTATAGTTAGTACTTGTCATTAGAATGTCATTTCCTTGTTTATTTATATTTATTATCTTTGCATCCATTTTGTGGTCTTTGTAAATTTCTTTGGACCTCAACTGCTCTTAGGTATAACATTGTTTGTGTGACATTTGATCTTATTTTCATAGGAATTAAAGTGGAGGGGATTCTTAGACAGTCAGCTGATGTTGAGGAAGTTGATCATAGAGTTCAAGAATATGAGCAAGGTATTGGTTTTCTAGAGATCAACTTCACTATAAGTTTCTCCTGGAACCATAGGGTTTCTGCGTTTCCGTTTGAACTGTTTTCGAGACACTAAATGTTCGTGTACATCACAATCTATTTTTAGGTAAAAATGAATTTGATGCAGATGAGGATGCCCATGTTGTTGGTGATTGTGTAAAGGTACTAGTTGATAAATTGAAACTTTTTTTGACAAATGGCCGAGTTCTGCACTCACCTCGGTTTTCTTTCTCTCTGCAGCATGTCTTGAGGGAGCTTCCTTCCTCTCCAGTTCCTGCGTCTTGCTGTGCTGCATTGCTAGAGGCCTATAGTGAGTTTTTCTTTATCGTATCTAGCTTTATAGAAGTAGCCTGATAACTCTTAATATGCTATCATCTGTGTTGGGGTATAAGATCCAAACTCAGTTGGACATTTTGGGGTTACTTAAGAAGTCAAACTTTTTTTCTCCAAATGCTATGTTGTACTCTCAGGGGCCATTAAGTCATTTATCTGTTCTTTACGTTGGGGCCCAACCATTGTTCACTGTCATCAGTTATTGAACTTTCCATCTTATTTATTTAATTTATTTTGGTACGTAATCATTGTATTATTGCCCAACTTGCATCACCATTTATTGATATTTTTCTCTCTATTGTATAAGAAATCGATCGTAAGGAAGCTCGGATATCTGCTATGCATTCTGTAATTGCAGAAACATTTCCTGAACCAAACCGGAGGTTGTTACAAAGGTAAATCTTTCTGTCATTTCTCTGTCTCCAGTTTCAGGTTGCATAGTTTATTGGCTATGATGAATTCCTTGTTATATGTTGATACTTGGAAAATCTCAAATTTATTTCGTTTCTGTACACCGACATAAATACTTCTGAACTTATCGCGTGATCATTAGCATATAAATGTTGTATATTTTAGACATGAATATAGATATCTAGCCAATTCTACTGCTTATAGGTATTAGAATATTTTTGATTATGTTAAATTTCTGGCAAAAATTAGGGTAAAAAGTCAATAATTGATTCCGTCAAGCTTGTATCTATGTGAATCTGGTAGACTGGTAGTGCCATTTACTACAACTAAATACTCTCATCAATCTTCGGATTGTGGTATTCCGGAAACAAAGCTAAAGCTTCTTCATCTCCCCGGAGTTCTGGTCATTTCATATGAAAATTTGCTGTCTCAGTTTGCTTCTTGTTTCAAACTTCATACAATGCTTCACCATTGAGGGATAAGGGCTATTCCATTATCTGCAAATGAGCCATTTGACAATTGCATCTGGCAGTTTACATTTCTGAAACCTGGTGAAAGATTGGTATAAATGAAACCAATGTTTACCTCCTGTTATCTTTACGCTGGGTATTTTGCAGTAGTCTAAACTTATCAAAAACTGATCTTATTAGCCGTGGGGTTGAAAAGTATATCCAAACTTCAAAGCTGGACAGTATCCAACTCAATATCTTTGTGGTGGCTAATTTTAATTTTACTCCTTTGTATTGGTGTTCTTCACAGGGTTCTGAAGATGATGCACACAGTCTCTTCTAATGCTCATGAGAATCGGATGAATCCTTCTGCTGTTGCTGCTTGCATGGCACCCTTGCTTCTGCGCCCCTTGTTAGCTGGCGAATGTGAGTTAGAGGATGACTTTGACGCTAATGGTGACAATTCTGCCCAGCTTCTAGCTGCTGCAAATGCAGCCAATAATGCCCAGGCTATCATTACAACTCTTCTTGAAGAATATGACAGTATTTTTGACGTAAGATATTCTCAATCTCTAGATGCTCTGCCCTTTGCTCATTGGATCTATATTATAGTGTCTGGGTTTCATTTCATTTTCAACTGTGATTGTCCTTTCTTCTCAATGTATGACTTGATCTCACAGACGTACTTCACTTAGGCAGAGTAGGTTCTATGGATACCTCTGCCACCAGTTTCCTTTACTAGGTGGTTTTTGATTGATATCTGGCCAACTTGAAGGCTTAGGAAAATACGACTGAATTGGTTGGTAGAAGGGCTAATGCTATTTGAATAGATGCACTCTATACTGTACTTCTTTCTAATTGTGGTTATTGTATCTACCAAGATGGATCAGAATAAAGTGATCTATTTACTAGTATATCTCTCTTCGTTAGGTGTTATGACCATAACGGAACGCCTTGAAGGATTTCTTATTCAGTTGAATCACTTCTGACAGATTCTTTGATGTATTCCATGACATAAGACTAACTGATATTTGAAGTCCTCAACATGTTTCTTTAGACATTTCTATTTGCACTTATGGTAGTTATGACCTCTCTTATTAGCAGCCGGGCCATAAAATTACTAGCAAGGTATATTAGAATTCGTAATTCTCATTGTGGACAAGAGGCCAGAAGAGATCTGGCTTGAGTGAATTAGAAAGATGCAGGTGTCACTATTCTTGTTTTGCTGGTTCCAGGGGCTTCACTTTCTTTTGTGTTTTGGTTTCTTGTGGACAAGGGGTGTCTCGATTTTTGTTTGCTGGCTCCAGGGTCTTTTGGTGGCCCCTGTTTATTTCACTCTGTTCCTTTTCCTTCTTTTATATATAGTTATTATATAACTCACTCTCACTTATAAACAACAAAAAGGTTTTTACTTTAACTTAAGCATTGTAGATGAGCTTTTATGTCAATTTGGTTATCTCGGCCGTCTCCTTTTAAACACTCTTCACAAGATGAGGATGATTCTGCTTCTGATAAGTAAAATAATAAGATGTAATGCTCGATGGTGATGACGTTTGTGTTTGACAATTTTGCAGTTCTGGATTTACTGTTTCTATGTTAGATAACTCGGTGTTAATACAGTGCTCCTGTTTTTCAGGATGAAAATCTGCAGAGATGCTCTATTTCGGCAGATTCTCGGATGGGAAACAGTGGAAGTGAAGACTCTAGTGATGATGAAAATGCAGATATGAAAAATAACAATTACCATGATGCAGAAAATGAAGTAGACCAAGAAACAGATGATGATGCTGCTGAGCGTGTGCTTAGTGGGAAACTGAGTGAATCCAGTGGTTCTACTGGCACTGATCTTTATGATTATAAGGTTCTCTCCAATATCAAGCACTTAAAATTTGAGATCCTACTTTCTTTCTAGGCCTGTCAAAATGACTTTCTGCTTCAACTATTGAAACCTTGCATGTGTTTCTGTTAAATGGGATAATTTTCAAAAGACAGATTTTGTTGACGAGCATGTTGCAAGTACTTACAGGGCTACTCAGCTCGTAGGACAATCTTCATGATATCTAAGAGCACTTACCTGAACTCGTCCTTGCCTTAAGTGAAGGGCTAGAAGTAAAGAAAAAAGAAAGAGCATGTTGCCAAATTCAGCATGGGCTGGAAAGTAGAACAGGAAAAAAATATGCTGAGGAGGTTTAATTCACTTTCATTGATGTGAGGCCTATGTTCTGTTTCGGCCGCTCCTAGCATTTATCCACTATTTACTTGGGAATCTAATACTGACAAAGCTGCTGGCTGCCTTTTTTTGAACTTATTTGAATTTCACTTAGCAATCATCACAATAAAAAAGAGTGATTCTAAAATTGGAAGTTCGTTGCAGTCTTTGCTAGGTACTTGTTCAATTTTACTATCACTCGTCCCCATTAAAGTGAATAATACTGAATTGGAGATGCCTAGGAGTCACTGGTAGCTATTATGTTTTTTTCATTGTCGTTGGAGGCGTGGGGGTTTGTTGTAATAACATTTGGGGGAGCCATGCGCGTTTGAAATTTTCTTATGAGACTAGAGTTGAGGACGCAAAATGTATGTAGTGCTCTACTGTTGTTATTGTGATGATGAAGCATCATATCGAAATGGATTTTTAATATAGTTGTGGCGCTTTCATCCCGTTTTTTGAATTTTCTTTTGCTGGATATTTTCTTTTTTCTTTTCTTCTAATGGGTTATACTGATTAGTTTTTGTATAACATGCAGGCTTTTGTTGGCGATGAATCAGGTGTCAGATTACCCATTGACAACCATACTCCTGCCGATAGTGCAAACTTAGTTACTGAACCTCCACATGTTAGAGATCCTGGTGCACAATTTCTGGAGCTAAGCAAACATAAAAAGGGAAATGAAAATTCAGTCCATGAAACAGATTCATTGAGTGTTTTGCCTCCTGGTGAATCTTACCGGTCAATGGGAGAGATCCTGTCTACAATAGATGCCGAGCCTCAGGTACCTATATCACCTATTGAGTCATCAGCTGAGAAGCCAGCTGGTAAAGCGACAACCTCCAATGCCAACGGAAAGCAGCGGTCAACATTTTGGGGAAGAAGCAATGTATGTCTGACATTTTTTAATTTTTTTTTTATTCTATAAGTCATATAAGTTATTATATATTTTTAGTTCCAGATTTGGAAATTAATGAACTTTCTCGACTTTCAATTAAGCAGATTCTCTGTGAACTTTATATTTAGGCATTTGAAGGTTTTTGCTTTTCAGATGGTTACATATAAGTATTCTGAACAAAGAATTTCAACTTCTTTTTGGGTAATAAATACCAAAGTACGGAAAGATATCATGGCAACCTTAGGAACAAGGTTGAATATGCAAGTTTTTGTTCACAGTGGCCAAGTAAATACAGGGAAAGAGAGTATGAAAAATGCACACCCCTTGTTAGATATGCACTTCTGTTTACTATTTCAGTTTACTTCAAACTTCGGTGGGTGTCTGTCATGTAATTTGAGTCATTACCTTGCAATTTGAAAACTATTCTATTTGCATGTATTGCTGAGGATGGAGCATGAGAATCAATCTTATTGTCCTTCCCACTCCGAGCTCTGTTATTTGTGCTCACCCTAGTTCTCCGGAATCCTTTGTTTTTATTTGCAGGGCAGAAAGACACCATCTATGGAGTCAGTTGATTCTTCTGAAGAAGAGTAAGATGTTCTCTATGCATACATGCACCTAAACTGGCTTGTTTTTCGGATATATTTGTTTCCTCTAATTTTTATCTCCTAAACCTGAGTTGAAACTATAGCTCAAACAAATGCCCTTAGCAAATATTTTAGAAAGAGTTGGTATTCATGTGCTTCACAATGAAAAAAGCCACCTAATTGATAGAAACTTTCCCTTTTCCAACTTGCCCCCTCATAATGAGAGTTTGCTTCTTAAGTTATTGCTCTTTGTAGTTATTTTAGAAAACCTATTGATTTCTTTATTGTTGGAAAATCCTACTTTGAATTCCTTGAAAAATCTATACGTCACTAAATTGAAAAAGTTCAAGTTGGCTGGAAAATTGCATGCAAGAATTCGTGTTGTTGATCCTCATGATGGGTTAAGGTTTTGTGGTGGTTGTGATGTTGATCCTAAATTTTGTCTCATCTTACATGAGTGAAATTGTGCTATTACAGGCTTGCTATTCAGAGGCTTGAGATTACTAAAAATGACTTGAGGCACAGGATAGCAAAGGAGGTTGGGAGACTTTTATTTGGATTGCCTCTGTTTTGAAGTTCGAGATGGTGATACAGTTACCTAACTGCATTTCCTATTTATAAATTGCAGGCTAGAGGTAATGCAATTCTGCAAGCTAGTTTGGAGAGAAGGAAACAAGCTTTGCATGAGCGGCGCTTGGCACTTGAGCAAGATGTACTTATTTCTATCTGTTTCTTGAGGTTACACTGTTGGTTGCTTTATTTTGTGAAGCATAGGATTGGGTGAAGTGGGCTTTGTGCTTACATTTAGGGATGTAGTAGCAGATCATGCATGTATTGGGATTTACTGTTTCATTAGAATCTATTCCTTTCCTGTGATATTTTTTACCTGTATTAACATTTGCATTCTTTTAGGTTATTTTCTTTTCTTCAAATTGTTGAGAAGATACAAAATTTGTTTAGTCTATTGAACTTAGGATCCTATTTGTGTTGTCTTCTGTCAAGTCGTTATCTCTTACATACTCGTATTTACTGCCTGTTCTTTGGTTATTGGTGGTTTAGGTCTCAAGATTGCAAGAGCAGCTGCAAGCTGAAAGAGATCTTCGAGCTGCATTGGAAGTTGGTTTGAGTATGTCTTCTGGACAGTTGTCAAGTTCACGGGGCATGGACTCTAAAGTTCGTACTTGGCTTTGTGGTTTTCTCTATTTCAATTATATCCAAAATTTGTGAGAGTTATAGAAATAAGTGGTCTGTTTCCCGATTTCTAGACAAGGGCAGAGCTGGAGGAGATTGCTCTTGCTGAAGCAGACGTGGCCAGGTTGAAACAGAAAGTTGCTGAACTTCATCATCAGCTCAATCAGCAGCGGCAGCATCATTATGGTGCTTTAACTGATGATCGATATCAACATGTCCAAAACCATAATCCTCAACAGTGAGTTTCCAATATCTTAGTGCCATTCTATTTTCTGTGCATAACATGGAGTTGACAATGGAGGAAGAGGTTTACATTAGCGAGAGAAAGGAAGTTGCGTTTAACTATGAATATTGTGATTAACCTTTTGATCTCAGTTACTTCTTACCATACAAACTGTAAGGTTCCAGACTGTTGAGAGCATGGCTGCAGTGTAGTTTTTGCTATTCAGTTATTATGTTGCAATCCCTTGTTTGAAAAAGAATAGTATGAAATGTCGCTGCTTGATTAGAATGTTGAGGAATGGTGGTGCAGTGTCTTGTATTTTTACACCCGTCAGTCCATTAGTATTACTGCCCAAGACAGTGAAGAATAGATCCGCTTATGTTTGGCAAGGTTTCAAAGCTGTTGCTGTACTTATTACTCCACCTCGTTTTGCAGGAGATTTCTTCAGCAAGATTTTGATACAACCCTTGCTTTTGTAAATCATGAAAGAAAACAGAGAACTGAGGTATTTCTAGAGAAATTGCTCGATCTCTTCTTATTTTATTCCCTTTACCCTACGAACTTTCTCCGTCCATGATTCTCCTGGTGGTGTTAAGTGAATATCAACAAGAATTGACCACTAGTCTATCATCTGCTAAAAGTTCTTGTTCCTGCAAGCACTGTTTGCCCTTGTATAGGCAGTTTTTACTCTCTGTCTGCTGGTGCAGAAAATGGAACGTAGGCATATCACGTATTTTGGTAATGCAAAAACTAGAGTATTTATCGATAGCCATTTGAGTTAAGTGGGTACCAATTCATGATATTTGTTCCCATCCGAATTGTACTCAGGATAGCCTTAATCCTTGGAGAAAAGGGGAAAGGAAGCAAGGCAATTTATATATATCGTTATTAGGTACCAATTAAAATTCAGTGAGGTGATTATGTCTTTACCTGTAAGAATATAGGTGGTTTGTTTCAGCTCTTTTTCCTTACTTTTTTTTGGGTGGTCGTTTTTCTGGTTGTATTTTAAATCGCTCTTCTGGTTTTTGTTTGGATGGATGCCTTTATCCTTGCTAGCGATTAGATACCTTTCCATTACTTGCCTACATTTAATGGTTCCTTCTAAATAAACTTTTGATTGCAGGAGGTTCTATTAGGAGCTGGTTGGAGGAATAATGTTAAAGAAGCAGCTGGCAGCAGTAGCAGGCAGCCTAATAATAGAAAGCAATATATGGAACCGACGACAAGCCTCAGTGACTCTAAAAGTACAGAGGAGGCTTCTACAAACTTATCCATGGACGAGCTTTGTGGTGTTGTCGATTCTGCTCCTACCTCAAGATCTGTTGAGGTATTTTTCTTGTGTTTCCAAACAAACAAACGCTTAACATCTATCTCTACGTGTACTTTCCCTTACATATTGCATTGCTGCATGCAGGTGACAGATTACACCAGACATCCATCAGCAGCATCTTCTGCTTTAGTGGAACTGACGACACGCCTTGATTTCTTCAAGGAAAGGCGGTCACAGCTCATGGAGCAGCTCCACAATCTCGATTTGAACTACGGGACAACGACTTCTTCACAGGATTTTGTGTATACTAGGCCGCCATCTTCTCCTCCATGGAACTGACAGGAAGACGAGCACCTTCCAATCAGCAGTGTTGTTGTACATTCTCGGACTTCCCGTGTTTGCATATAGTTCTTTTTTTCCTTTCTCTATCTCAATTGTATTCTTCTTCTTGCTCTCTACCGAATCTAGCTATTTTTCTTCCGATTCGTATGGTTGTGTTGTGAAAATTGAGTCTGCTGCGCTCGAGGTCAGCAGTTGATGGGGAGGGCGCTCGGTCTGCCCATCTACGACAGTACGAGAGTGTCTTTCCTTTTTGGGTTCTTTCTCCCTCCAGTTTTCTATCCTATTTCGGAATTTCCCCTTGTTATTTGAGAGATGCTGTGTATATGGGATGTTATGCTTGTGGTCAGTTTCTATGTGGTTAAGATGACCAATACTCACAATATTGATGAATGGTCCTTAAAGCTCTACTTTCTATATTCATCCTTCTTTGTCATTGTTGACACATCTTTGTAAAGGAATTCGTGTGTGATACTTTCTTTCAGTATTAGTTGTATCAATATGAAAGACGCTAGAGGTTTTGATAATTGATATTTGCTACTTCAAAATCCATTACATTATCCTAATGCTCATAAGATGCTGCTGAGTGTCATAAGCGGGGAAGAAAGAAGCCAACAATCCCAAATCTCCGAATACCAGGTTTAAACAGGGTGGAAAACATTACATTGCTCAGCTACCTAGTTTAAGAAACACTAGATTCAACAGCTACAGAAGAAGAAACTACAATGCTAGTGGCCTAGCAACATTGAAATGGAACGATCCGATATACAGAGAAACTACCCCCAAAAGCTGAGTAGAATTTCACGAATCAAATTGGATCTCTAGCGATAGTGACCTTCAACTCAACATCAGTCCAACCATGAACCAGCTCGAAGGTGCAGACATCCCCTCGCTTCAGCGAGTTACATACTGCGAAATCCTTCCACCCAATGCCAAGCTTCATGTACTTGTTCTGTAGCTTGTTCAGCCTTACCGTCCATTCATTGCCTCCCACCACAAGTTTCACTTGCTGCTCAGTTTTCTTAATGTGCTCGTCTGCAAACTCTGCAGGAATGTACTGCGAAAAAACGGGGTATCGAGGTGTAAGTTCAAGCAGAGCCAACAGACCCCGTTGAAGAACTATGAACAAAAACTCCAGAAGAGATATCTGTACCGGCCCTGTGGCGATGTAACTCGGATGCATTGTGGTCTGGTAGGAGGGTTGTTTCGTTGTGAACCCATCCACCGGCAGAGCTCTGCGTTTCCTTGAAGAAGAAGGCTTGTCAGAAGAGCCTTGTTTCTCTTCCTGTGGCATCACTGTCTTGTTCAAACCACCTCCTTCACATAGTAATTGTAACTCAAAATTAGTAAAGGTAATAAAAAAATACAACCTTTAGAAGCAGGGGAAGACATGAAGTCATGAACTAAGTAGTAATTACCGTTAGCCTCAACCTCTCCACTGGATTTCCAGTAGCTCTTCTGCCGCTTCACCAGGCGGTTGTCATCACCTTGCCCAGCACCATTCGGCACCATTGGAGACTTGCCTTTCTCGTTCTCCTTCCACTGGTTTGTTGCCCCAGCATCATCCTCGTCATCACTAACCAAAACCTCCAGTACCGGAGCCGAATCCTCGATCCCGATGACTTCCCTAACTGGGTAATCAATCTCGGTAGCGGATCTACCGAATATGACCACAGAGAACTCGGAGCGACCCGAGTACTCGAAAACCAGCAAGTGGCCGTACTGCAACGAGTAGAATTCTGCAAATCTCTGCCACCCGTTGTTGCCGAACCAAACATCTTCTTCCCCTTCCCTTCCCAGCTCCACTTCCCACTCGTCTCCACTGGGTACCTTCAAAGTTGCAGACTTTGAGTACAGCAGGCAGTCGGCCGAATCCCTGATGAACTTTCTCGGAACAAGCTGCCGTACAATCAAGCAATCAATCAATGGTTACTAACTTCACGTAACAAGGGTTCTGAATGGATGAGATGGAAAAGTGTGGTTTTGGGGGGTTTTTTTTTTACCAGCTTCTTGTCACGAATGGTGGATTGAAGGATGATCTTGAAGAAACGGGCGCCGGTTTGCTCGTCATCATTATCTCCTACTCTCCGCCTGTAATGGCCAGAAGAAGTCATGGTAGTAGTAATCAAAGCTTCAATCTTTCTTTCTTTTTTTTTCTCTCGACTTCAGGGGAGAGCTCCTCTGCCTCTTCGGTTCTATGATAATTGTATTATATGGAGTATGCCAGTTGTTAGAAGAAGAAGATAGTCTTGTTGTTGGTGAAACATTGACATGGAACTTGGCGCCAATCACTTTTACTTTTTACCTCTGGTTTTCTACTGCACGGTAAAAACAGAGGAGTGACTTGACTCATCGGCTCTTTGGGGGAAGGGATCAAGGAAAGGGAAAGGAGTCATGTCGTCATAGATAATGTCTTGAAAAGCAGGGACAACTTCAATGCCTCAGCAGCGCCCCACCTCCTCAAATTACAACGACGTGAACAGAGGAGATGGGACGGGATAGCAAAAAAGCACAGTGTATTCTCATTTCTCAGTCATGTTGGTCCGATATACAAATATAGACAAAATTGGTATTATGGTGTTACTAGTAGAATTATGATTATAGGCCTCGAAACACCATTTCCGTTGACTTGTTCGATACGATTTTTTGGTGCAGGATCATAAATCCACAGTAGAAACTGGAAAAAGGGAGGAGGGGGATTTGTTTTGTTTAGAAACAATTAGTTTTTGCATGTTTTTTTTAGTTTTGGCCAATTGTGAGGTACATGGAGAGAGACCTTGTTGGTATTTTCCAAGGTGAGTGAACTAGTCAATAATGTGTATAAACAGAGGATTTAGACAGGAACTCATTTATTGAACAGTACTCACATGCCCTTCAGTTCACTTATTGCACTCAACAGGAAGATACAGACTTCTAGATGAACTCGTTTGATTGAAATGGTTCTGTTGCTGCACTGCCATCTATGCTTGCTGCAATGGTTGAAGGTAAGAAAAATTGAACTAAGGTTACTGCTGCGTTTAGAAGCGTGTTTCCTTCTCGTGGTAGTAGTTGCTCCGATTTTTGATGTATCTGATTTAGAAACCCTACCGTACCGGGGCGGTCCGATGGGTAACCAATCGTATCTAAGAGTTGTTATGAATACTACTGATTCAGCCCAATGTTGTTTGAAAAAGAAAAGTTGTCACTAACCTGCATTTGATGGATCCTTCAAAGAACTAAACTTTTCTAGCTAGTTTTAGGAGTTTCTTTCAGGAGCAGAATGCTAATGTGGGGTTCAACCTAGAACAATGCGGGCCTAAGTTTGGATGTTTTTTTCTTCTTCTATTTCTATTTGATATTTTATGGCCACAATAATTGTATACTTTTTAAAGTGAGTCAGGCCCCAACTAGATTACTACTAATATATAAAAAGGTAGTCCAAACCCAAGTTTGGCCCCAAAGAACCTTCCTTTTCCATGCTATTTTACCACTTTTGTTATGGAATACCAGCTTTCCCGTCCGTCTTTTAAAAGTAGATGTACAAGCATTGCTCCAGTACCATGTGGCTTATAAATTGTGATTCCATTTGTAATGAAAAATTATATCGTACTAGTGATTTTGATCAGGAAAATCTTCTATCGAAAGCGAAATCGATAGGGAGTAATTAACTATATGAAACATTTAGATCTCCATGCGACCATGCCTATATAAAGGAGATGTCATCCAAACACGGGTAAACATTTTTACTCATCGTAAGCACATACGTATATTCTTACCATCTATGGAGAACAGTCAAGACTTGAATCGTCTACTCCAGTAAATTTGTTGTAAAATTTTTGTCATAGAGAAACATTCATCAAGAACCTCTAAATCAGTTGGTTCGATTCTGTAGACATACCAAAACACTTAGAAAAGAGACATTATATATGTAAACATGTAAAGAACTATATAGTTGAGTTATTATGACCAATTGGTTCTTGACATGAAATTAAAGTATTTTGTGATAGAAAAGTCGTGTGTTCGAATCCGCACTACTAATTTGTTAAGTACATGGTATTCGGACCTGTGCAACCTTATGAGTGGTATTCGTTTGAAGGACCAACTAGTTCTTGACAAAACATTATGAAAAGATAGCTATTTCTTATGTACTAATTAAACATGTAATTTTTTTTGTAATGATTAAGACACTAGTGTTGTATATGTAGCTCCTTTAATATAAGTTTGAACTTTGAACACACATTAAAAAGTTGTAAGATGCATGCTAAGATTCGATATCTTCTAGAGTACTTATATTCGACCCCTAACAGAAAACCGTTATAATTTTTTTCTTATATATTTCAAGCCACTCGTTTATTTGTCGCTCTAAATCTTGACTTCACATCTTGAAATCAGTGTTCATTATGGAGTTTCTCGAAATGGACAGGTAATTCAAGCGCATATATGTCATTATATATTGATCATTACTGAAAATTAAGTTGGAATACGCGAGAAACTAAAAGGCCGGATTGTAATTATATCTTTTTTTATTATTATTGAACACCAAACGAAAAAAGAAAAGACTTCTATGAGCGCGCCAAACAGTTGGCCGTAAAATTACTCTTCCTAAAACACATGGAAGAAAAATGAACAGTGCACTCCCACCACCAGGGTATTAATTACTCCATCAAGCTCGTAAGCATGATTAACACTAGTCTAGGTTTTCCGTAAATCAAACCACAAAAAGGTACGTAACTAGAACAAATCACTTTCTCTTACGATATATATGTTGCTTTATTATGAATTTAATTATTTGTTTGAAAAAAAAAACAAAGAAAAGCTTCAGCATATAACCATGGTCGGGCCGACGGTTTAATTTTCATGTATCTGTTTGAATCCCCTGGCTGCCTGATCAGCAGGGCGCAATGCATCTTGTGTACTCGTCCCACTCACAGCAGCTCAGGATGCCTACATAATACACGTATAACAATTACGACCAGAAAAAAAGTACGTACAAGTTCGAACTTTGAGATCAACAAATAACGGGAAAAAAAAAGTACGTAGTATTATATACGATAATTCAACCAACCACTTACAGTGCTGCCCCGATTTGCTACAGTGCCCCAGAACAGTAGCGCCGGCCGGGTTGAAGCCATCATCAGAATGGATCCTTGAAGCAGCTGCAGGCAGAGTAAAAATGGCTGCTGCCATGAAAATCATGCAGACCATCAGAATCATCTGACTCGCGGGTTATTAGTATTGGAGATGCATGTTGGATTGAGAGGTTATGCGCGTGTTAGAAATTCTCATTATATGTTTCAAGACGCGTATGATGTTGGTGTGTGCAAATTTCAAACCCGTTGCGTCAATTGATCGTGCTCGATGCCTCATCGCGTATACAATGCAATACATACCCAAAGGTGGTACGTACAATTACAAAGGAGAGACATGAAAATGATTCGATACTGTCCGGCAAGGGCAGAAGATGTTTTGTGATGTCGCGCCGAAATGCCGTGTCGCTATTGCCGTGGAAATAGTTTGAGATATGACTTTTGGATCAGGATGATTATTATTGCCATTTTTGTCCAAGCTAAGCTAGCTGTCTTGACAGCGGCACTCTCGAGAAGCAAGAAGGAAGTAATAACATCATTTGCAAATATAACAATAGTAATTATGATTAGGGTCAGGTTGTGGTTGGAATTATGACATGGTAACACTCTATTTGTTAGTATGATATGCTTATACTAGGTACAAGAACATTTCGCTTTGATAGATTTTTCTATTTTTAAAGGGTTGACCATGGTTAATGTTGGTTGTTAAAGGAAGGGGAATGCTTGTCATTTTTAATTAGAGGGGAAACATGCGCGATCGAGGGTGTACTGGCGCTGCTCATTTATTTCGTGTCATGTCTTGTCCACAAGTATCATGAAGCGTACCACAAAATTCATACCGGAAACACAACAACCACACCAAGAATAATATAAAGTAGACCATAAAGCTTTATAAGCAGATCATAACCTCACTAAACCACAAAATTCGTAAAACCATATAAGAAAACTCAAAGTTGACCACCAGTTTCTTAAAGCATATCAGAAACCTCATAAAACATACTACAAGTTTCTTGAAGACACTAGAAACCTCATAAACCTGACAACAAGTTTCTTAAAGCAGACCAAAAACCTCATAAAGCGTACCGTAAGTTCTATGAACAAAAATCCCATAAAGTTGACAACAAGTTTTCTGAAACATACAAGAGAAATCACACTGGAAACTTCACGAGGCAAACCCGAAACATTATAAAGGATGACAAATATTAAAAATATATAGTGGTGAAATAATTTTTTGGTAATGACGATTAGAGAAACCAAAAAATGTTGTTGATAATTCAAAACTGGAAACTTACATCTGGCACGACGATTTGTTTCTGCTTCAAGTAAACTTTGGTTTCCTGTACTCATGGATCAAACAACAACAAGAGTAAGCTTTCGAATTAAAAGATTCCAAGATAGAGATAAGTAAGCGCGAGGAGATATGGCGAGCCAACCGATTCATTTTATAGATGTGTTTCTGAAGAAACCAATTGACTACAAATTGACAACTTTTATTGAAAGATCACAATCAGATTATATACAATGCCCAAGCTTTCCTCACGCCACTAACCGCTAGCAACCCCTCAATCCCACTTTCCTAACTTTCAGCAGCTACTAACTAACATGGATAACAACTCTAGACTCATCCCTAATACCCCTTACTCTAAACGACAATACCCAACAAACAACCCAGCTTAACAACTTGACCCAAATAAAACCCAGCCCAATATAATGATAATCACACAGCCCAACAATAGCAGTACAACAACTTTGATCCTTCCAACATATCCTCCCCTGAACTGAAGCCTGCTACACATTTCAGTTCACCCCATGGAAGCAGTTTCAATTTTCGGTAACTTCTATGTGTAACAGCAACTTCGATTTCACATAAACACCTTCTCCACTTTTGTAGTAGCAACTCCAATTGTGCAGGAGCAGCTTCTTGAATATGCAACAATAGCTTCTTCCTTACTTCTTCACTGTCCTTCAGTAGCAGCAAACCCAACATGAGCAGTTGCTTGGTGAAGTACATGCTCTTTACACTTTTCAAGCTTTCAGACTCTTCATTGTTAAACACCTTCCCCTTGGGATCCCAACCGAGCTTGATCTTGACCTTGATACCAAGAACACCCTGCCTCAAGAGGATATGCCTTGCAGCAAAGTCAAAGTTCTTGTACATTGGCTGGCCAGAAGAGATCATGTAACCGTCCATAAACTTCATAGATTTAGTACTCTGTGTCCTTTGCTCTCTACTAAAAATAACATTGCATCCCTTGGAACCACTTCCCATGAGAAACATTAGCATATTATAGCACGTCGTTCTAACAGCAAAACCACTGAGCAGCTTGTAACGAAGAGAATCGGCCTGAGCGATAGCATAAAGCTCCCTGTTGTTCACTTTCCCACATACATTCAACTTCACTACCTTGAAAATTATATTTAGGATCTGATCTCCCATTACACAATGCACTTGATTTACTGCTTTTTCTTTCCCCAGCTCTCTTATAAACTGAAATGTGTTCAAATTGACAGTCTTCGTCATCACAGCAGTAAGTTGATTAGTATCACCACCTTCTCTTCCAATCCCTCCATTAGCCAACTCATACAATCTAATCTTTCTCCTTAGTCGCTCCAAGCTGTCCAACTGAAACTCATCTCCAACTAATGAAAGCTCTCCTATGTGATTTATGTGACTCCTAACACAATTGCAGTAAAGCAACTCCAAACTCTCTCTTTCTAACCATTGAATCATCTTCTTTTCCCTGAAAAACTCTTTCCATTCGTACAAGCTTCTAATACCTGCCATTACCCCAACATTCACAACCTCATCATACAAAGACAGGACCTTGTCAAATTGTATAATCTTCACAAACCCATTAAGAAGCATAGAAACAGTTGGAATCTCCAGTGACAAATAGCAGCAGCTCTTCATTGATCTAAATACAAAAAACAAAGCAGCAACTGCAGCATCAAAGATTCTCTTGTTAGCCACATAGTTCTGAATTACCTCAACTCCCATGAGGGATCTCATCCATCCCAGAATACCCATCTCAAACCGAGCTTGCTTTTCCTCCCCGACTTGTGGTTGCTCCACCCTTGTCTCTTTAGCTCCTAGAGGACAGTGGAGGACCTGCCATGGAATTTCACTCTCAACGAACTGCAGCTTAGGCTTGATAGCCTGCTTCCATTCTGCTCCCTTTGTTGCTTGCCCAAAACACTTATAATCTTCTGTTTTAATCATTGTTTCGTAACATTCCAAGTCCTTACCACCTACTTCATGGATATCCAAATCCCTTGACAAACTCTTGGTTCTGTGTTCGGATGAAGCAAGAGAAAGAAGACCTAGCACATCAATCTACACTAAATCCTCTTCTCTTTGAGACTGCATTCCATCAGATTTAGTTGCAGCTTTTGTTGCTTGATTCAAATCTTCTGCTAGAGCTGGAGTCCCTCTATCAAATTTAGCACTTGAATGCCATATCTTCTCATCACACCTCACTTCATCATCTCCAATAGCCTGCAGACATTTATGCTGAAATTCTGTTGTAGAAGCAGCATACTCAGCATGCAGCACATACATTTTGTTTTTCTTTATGTTTGTCTCAAACAAAAAACCTTTTTCATTATGAAAGATCTTGCAAGCTCCCCGTCGAATAAGAAAACTTAAGCCCTTCTCCTGCATCTTCCCTGTACTCAACAAATTGGTTTTTAGCCCTGAAACATACAGCACATTCTTAATCACCAAGTTTCTTCCTCCCACCTTCATCTTTACCGTTCCCTTTCCTTGCACCTGAAGTCTAGTACCATCGCTTGACTTAACAGTATTGGAGAACGAATAATCAATACTAGTGAACCAAATTTTTTTACCAGTCATGTGATCTCTGCAGCCTGGATCTAGAAACCACCTCACTTCTGCTTTATCCTTTGATGGTGTATCCTGATGTGCCAACAATGCAGTCTGTACCTCCTTCTTTCTCATTGATTCTACACAAGTCATAAGCAGCATATGTTCGCCCATCTCACCATGACAGGCAGAAGAATAGTGGGACATTTGATTCCGCGCTTCACATTCAAAACTGAAGTGACCAAATTTATCACAATTAAAGCATTTAACAGTTCCTCGATTCCATCTTCTTCCTCTTCCTCTATCCTGGTCAACTCTTCTTCCTTGACCTCTGTCACCTCTTCCATCAAACCCATGAGCCATTCTGTGAGCTTGATCCTCCTCAAATACAGATTTCTTATGCAACTTCTGTTCATGGACTATCAAAGAACTTTGAAGATCATCAACTGAAAGCAATTCAATGTCCTTTGATTCTTCAATTGAACAAACTATATAGTTAAATTTCTCAGTCAAGGTTCTGAGAATTTTCTCCACAATCTGAACATCAGTCATGGTCTCTCCATAATTCCTCATGGAATTAGCCACCACCATAACTCTACCAAAATACTCAGTTATTGTCTCACCTTCTGTCATTTCTAGCAGCTCAAAGCTTCTTCTCAGTCCTTGCAGCTGAGCCTTCTGAACGCGTGCACTGCCTCGGAACTTCACTTTCATTGCATCCCATATATCCTTTGCAGTAGCCTTCTTTGTGATGGTCTTTAAGATAGTCTTGTCGATTGAAAAGAAAAGGTAATTTTTCGCTTTCAAATCCTTCAACCTTTGATCTTCTAGATTCTTGGTTTGGACACCGGATAGCTCCTCCTCTGCTGCAGGCTCCGTGACGCCTTCGCTGACCACTCTCCAGTATTCCTTAGAACGAAGCAAATTCTCCATAAGGAGACACCAATGATCATAATCTCCATCGAATTTTGGGATGCTCACCTGAGCAAAACTTCCATTCTCACCCATTGCAGTATAGCTATCACACTCTCAACTCACAAATGTGATACTTTACTCTCACCCCTTTGCAGTATTCCTTATCGATTCAACTCGTGTTTCCCAGACCCCAACTGCAACTCAGCTGCAGAATTTGCTTGAAAAAAAAAAACTCTCGTTAACAACCCGGAATCACTCAATCACAATCTTGATTACAATTTGCTTTGGCTCTGATACCACATGAAGAAACCAATTGACTACAAATTGACAACTTTTATTGAAAGATCACAATCAGATTATATACAATGCCCAAGCTTTCCTCACGCCACTAACCGCTAGCAACCCCTCAATCCCACTTTCCTAACTTTCAGCAGCTACTAACTAACATGGATAACAACTCTAGACTCATCCCTAATACCCCTTACTCTAAACGACAATACCCAACAAACAACCCAGCTTAACAACTTGACCCAAATAAAACCCAGCCCAATAATAATGATAATCACACAGCCCAACAGTAGCAGTACATCAGCTTTGATCCCTCCAACAGTTTCTCTCTAGTCTCTCCCATACACACGATAATCACTAACTAATTCTATGATTTGGAGCTGATAAGGATGAGAACATGTGAAGCATGAAGTAGCAACCGCCAAAGGTTGTGAGAATTAAAACTTTTAAATGTTCTTGATTTTCTTCTTTTCAATTTTTTTTTCCTTTTAACAATGTAACTAAAAATGGTTATGAGAATTGTGGTAACTAAAGTTGTGGGAATTAAAGTTTTACAAAAATTATGGTCAGAGTTCTCAGGTAGATTATTCAAAAAACATTTATGAGATGTTGTCCACTCTTCTTCAAAAGTTTAACTTCAGCTTTTTTGCATCAAGAATGACCTAAGAAAATGTGTATAATGGGTAATTTCAACTATTGACATTCTTTTCATGGTTTCATTTCAACTAATATAATTTTAGCCACCCTAGACTATGTTGGTTTTGCTAATCTATTGATTTGTCATCCATAATACAAGTAAGTTGGTTATGCTAAATCAGACACTAGGATGGTTATTCCGGTCCTTGATAGATATTGTACATCATAAATATTCGAAATGACTAATTGTGTTGGAGGAGAGAGAAAACGCTTCATTGATTACATATTGAAATAATATGTGATTACCATAGTTCTCTACAAACATGAATAAGTTTGTGAAGATACATTTTGTTCTTTTATCACCATTATGATCTTATAATTATTGTATAAATATTTTGGTTAGTTACGATATTATTTGGAATTTTTTTAAAAGAGTGATATAGGTTTACTTATTTTTTTTTAGTTTAGGTACTACTTAATTTTTTTATTACTTTCCTTTTGTTATTCTTATCTTGACGATATGACATTAATGTAAGATTTTTGTCTTAACCTATGTTTTTCGGTCACCATTTCTGTGTTTTAATGTGATTTTGCACCTAATCAACTTGATTTGCCTTTTTCTAATATCACTGTAGCTAGATAGCCATTTTAACCACCAAGTTGATTGGTTTTGGTGCTTTGGAGCAGACATGCTATAGCACAATGTATGGATGTGGTGGAAAGCTCTAGGTGCTAACACAGAGTCTATTAATAAGTTTTCTTGTAAAAAAATTCATTTACTGCTTCATGCACCCAGAATAGAAGAGTATGACCCTCATTTCCTTCGATATATTGCCTATCTAAACCACATGATCAAGCGAATGAGCTCTTTAACAAAAATCATTTCAAAGTGTTTGAGAAAAATTTTGGCGCTTTGTTTGAAAGATACATGATCATTGCCCTTGTGCAACCTCCTAACAAGCCACTTTCAGATTTCACTTTTGCTGCTAGCGACGTGTGTATTTTCTTTCTCTTTCTTTTGTGTAATTAATGTTAGTGTGGAGATTGATTGTTTCACATGTTAATGTTTTTTGTGGTATGTTTGGCATGTTTGATGTGAAATATTATGTTACTGGAGTTTTGAGTCTAAGCTGGAAAGCAACACTCAAGCAAGTAGAAAAAGTGGTTGTAGTTGTCGCTGATCTTTTGGAAAAAGTGGCAATTTGTGTTGGAAAGGTAGTTTATGATGAATCGTGATTTGCACAATCTTGTCTTTCTCACTCCCGTCGGAGACTTGTTATATTATTTGTTACATTGTTGTTAACTTTCTCTTCACAATCAGTGTAATGATTGCGTACGTTGAAACTCTTATTAACCCTTGATTTCTCGAATTTGATATGAGAGGTTGTTGCTTCTGGTATGGACCGTATGGTAAATTTTGCTATGGGTGAACACTTCTCTTCTATTCTACTCTCTTGCTTTTCATTGGTATAAACGTCGATAACATGTATATATTCTTTTACTCATCTTCCATATATTGTTACAACCAATGATATTAGAATTTTAACATCATTTTGTAATGTTATTGAATTTCGACCGTCTCATGAGATCATTTCAACTGTTGGGGTTCTTTCCAATTTTGGAAGTTTAGATTGTGTTGGTATGCCCTTATTATACATACTAGTATTCATGCCCGCGCTCTGCGCTGGGACTTGTGATACATTAGCAAATAAAAGATTACATCATGATGTATCATCATGTGTTTTATTTGCTATAAATGTTTATTAATTTGCTAC